AAACAAGATTTGTGCTTTGAAACTAAAGGTGACATCGCGGGGGGTGGGGGTGGGGGGGGGCAATACACCAACCCAACCCAAACGCAGTTGTTTCTCCTAGCCTTTCAAGCAGCCCTTTAAGAAATCGTCCTGAAGTGACTCGAATAACCTCTGATGCTAAGTGGTTTAACGATTCCAGAGCAAAAGCTGGAGACGCGTGGAAATCAGGCTGCTTATGAAAACGTCCCGAGACGCGAGGGAATTTGGTTTCAGTGTTTCTCGCTTGTAGGGCTCATTTGGCCGGGGATCAAAAATGATTTCCCAAAAGCCATTTCCTGTGGCCGCTGATGCACATGCTGCTCACGGGTGCATTCGGATTTAAGGATCGGGCTGGAAAGTCATTTCTTTGATGTTTTCTACAGTAGGGAAGAAGTTCTCACCTTTCTGAATGCTACTCGGCCGCAGGTAACTGTGGTTACAGCTGGGAGTGCACCAGACGTGCCAACCTGAGTGTCGTGCTTAGCAAGGTTTGGCCAGGCTCTGTGCAGACAAGTCACAGATCCGATTTGGGAGATTCAGTTTAATGGATCCAGATATAGCGGTCGTTTATTTAGGAGCCAGGTCAAAACAAGGGATTGATTAGTTCATTCCTTGTAGCTCGCCACCTTAGAGCGTATCGGGAAATAAGCAAAGTTAGCTGGAAAAGTACAAGAGATGCGTGTCCCTGACCTTAAAGAGTGTCAGCTTCAAGGAGATAGTCACAAAGGTAGGGCGGGCAAGAGGAGGAGTTTAGATGAAATCGGCCAGCACAGTGCTTCAAAGTCCATGCTGTAAATGCTTAAACATGGGTAAGGATAATTAAAACCAGACCTCCTCGAGCTGAGACAAAGGACTCCATCCCCGCTCCATCTGATCCCGACCCCATGTACAAATGAAGCCCGTTAAAAACAGTGCCCGATCCGATGCTGCCAGGTTTGGAGGGCGGCATGAAGGCACATACAAAAGCCAGGGAGCCCAGCGAGCTCTGTCCCGCTACAGTAGAGGACAGGGATCCAAATTAACAAACCATTAGCCTGCCTAATAGCTCAGCTAGTTAAACTCAACCCATCTCGCCCCTGGGCCAGAGGGACGCGCAGGAAAGGGTCATTATTTACAGCAAATTGTTTCTTCTCCTGGGGACCAATAGCGCTGCGGGGGCCAGAGAGGCAGCTTGAAGGCTCCCAGCGCAATAAACAGACCACATGAGCAGCTCTGGACAAGGAACCGCTGCTCGTTTCAACCTCACTCCCCGGCTACCCCCTTTTCCATGTGGATTCCTCCCCTCCGCTTTTGGACCCACCACGAGATCTGGGCTTTGAAGCACTGGCGGGCTGATCTGTGGATAAGAGCTACCATTGCCTTGCTGGCTGGGCCAGCGCTGCTGTGTATACACACGCTGAAGTATAGGTTTGAAGTGTAAACATGTACTTTGAGGCAACAGCCCTGTCAGCTGGGCTCCCAATGTTTTGTTTAAGACGCGAAGCTCCCATCTGTCTGCCACATAAACAGTCTGGGAAAGAAAGTCCCCCCGAAAGCACAATGCCCTCGGTTTCAGGCTGAACTGCCCTTGCCATTAAGTCGTTGGAAGCGTTTGTAACAGAAAGGGGGGCATTTGAACCACGTGGGGTAGGGCCAAAAGCCCCCCCCCCATACCACCCCTTTCAGGAGGGGTTAACACCTATTTGCTCGATGCGCAGCGAAGGAAAGCAGCCGAACGCTTTCTCTTTGCCCTGCGAAATGAATCCGAATTCAGCTGCTCTTGGATGGAATTCGAAGTATAAGAAAATTTGTCACAGAAGCCGAACGGGGAAGGAATGTGAACGGCTTAAGTCGTGTTTGGGGGGAGAGGGCTTGTTTAGGAGGACCGACGGTTTGTTTCAATACATCGCCCTTAAACAGGCTGATTCTGGCAAAGCCATGGGGAACCACAGTGCTGGGGGGGGTGTTTGAAAATATCCAGATGCTGAATTATATTTGAAACTGGTTTCTTAACCATCCAGGTTCCTTCTCTCCCTCCACTAACCTCAACCCCTCCCCCCAAGCTAGTGCTTCACGTCCATTCCTCACCGTTGCTTGCAAAAGTGGGCTACATGTGACACTGGAGTGCCACCTCATCAATGTTTTTGCACGCCCCGCACGGCTCAGTGATCAGGACAGGATCCCTGCATTTCCCAAGCCTGTTTCTCAGCACAAGTGGAGGAGCGGAGGGGGGTGGGACAGGAGCACAGTGGGGTCTCTCTCTCTCTCTCTCTCCCCCAGCAAATGGCCCGGAGGCAGCCGGGATAGTAACAGGGGCAGAACGGAGCCCTCCAGCCAAGGGCACACATATGGTGTGCATCTCCACTGCTTTCTATCAGCCAGATACCTAGATAAGAAAAAAATAATAAACACCCAGCCTTGTAAATGGGAAGGTTTCTCGCCCTGTTCCTAAGCTGGGGACCACACATGGCCCCCTGCTTTGCTCTGTACAACAATCTTGTAGGATCTTAGAACAACAGAATGGAAAGGGCGTCTCGCTCTTCCCGGTGTAAGCCATGCAGGGCGAGTGACACAGAGGGGGCTGGAGTCAGCTCGCCTGGGTAATGAATGGGGTGACTTAGGGACTGAGATAAACGGCTGAAAATGTCGAACTTCAGGCACCGATCCCTGCAACAGGCCAGAAACAGAGTCAATACAAACTGGATTATTAGCGGTATTTCCTGCTTCGGAGGCGTGTACACGTTGGGTCCGATCCTAACCTCAGCTGGAGGCAAAGGGAGTTTGGCCACTGATTTCCGTGAGAGCAGGACAGGGCCTATGGCTTGTAACTAGCCACGTTGTATTTACCCTGAGGGAGGAGAGGCGCTAGATACATATTTCATGTTATAGATGGCTGATAGAGCCAGTAATTAAGACGCTAGGTCCCGAAATACCAGATTGTCCTCCAAAGAACTGTACTGCTAAGGTGCCTTTACTTTTTCTCTAAACCCTGTGGGATCCCACATGGAAGCAGTTAGCGAATGTTTGTTAATGATCATAACAAAAGCATTATTCAAATTAGACAGGTAATTACAACCAGAAGGAACATTCCTTTCTTTTCTTTCTCTCTGTTCTCTTTCTCTCTTTGCAAGAGTGGCTCTCTCTTCACATCTGGTCCGGACACTACAGCATCAGATGTCCCCTTTATCGTTTTAGGGATTTAATACCCAGGCGATATTCACGCAAATAAATCCCAACCGAAACAAAGCTACTTTGCAAAGCTACTAAAGAGTTCTTTGCGATCCTGGAGCCCGTTGTGATTGATGTGAGCCTTGTTTTAAAATTCCGAATCTCACTTTTATTTAAACCCTTGTAACCATGCAGGGTTGATCATTTTCTTTAGAGGCTTTGTTTTTCCTCTCTCCATCACCAGCTAAAAGAGCAAGGCCATTTGTAACCTTGTAGCTAAAATAATTCCAAGCTGCATATATTTTTCCTTGCTTGCTGATCGATTGGAGCCTGGTATTTATTTACAAGCATTACGGTATCCTGTTAGCATTCCGAACAAGGGGCTGTTCATATATCTGCCTCCAATGATTTCCTGAAGGAACATGTGGAAGCAATAGTGAGGTTGTGCACTCACCCAAGCCGAAGATGCCTTGGTGGAGAACACGCAAAAGGCTGCAGGCACTGGGAGCACCAAACAACCCAGTGAGGGGGGACCCTGCAAACGCAGCCAGAGGGCTCTCAGCTTGAACAGGATTACACTCCCTGCCTTTCACAGCTCTCGCTGCCCAGTCCCTTTGGGGGATTTGCGCTTCAGAGACCAATTCTCCTTCGTTTGGGAGGGAGAAAACCACCAGAGTCTATTGCTTGACTTTGAGAACAAACTTCTTTTGTTTAGTAACGAACGAAGGACGAGCGCCTATAAAGGCAAGGCGGGAGAAAGGGAAAGCTGTGCAGAAAAAAAACGAGGAAGCAATTTTAACATAAATTCCTCTAGGACACCCTCCCCGGCAGCACGCACCCCTGCCCACCCCAAGTTCTGCCCTGGAGAAGGGGATGTAAAACGCACCTCAGCTCCCATTCCTGGGGCTGCAGTGCCCCCTCGCACCCAACAGCTGAATAACTCCAGTGGCACGAAGCTGTGCTCGCTGTGCCTCGTTTGGTAGGAGCTAGCCAGAAAACGAAGAGCAGCCCCATCTGACTCCCACGATTACATCTCTCTCTCTCTCTCTCCACACAAACTTATCTCCAGCAAATAGCAACAATCGAGCCCGACGAGATACGTGTATCTCCCGGCTGGGGATCAAAGCTCTGGCCGGAGACTATTCTAAACCGAGCCATTCAAACCCCAAAGGCTTCGACTGCAATGTCTGTCCAAGCTCCTTAATGCTCTGCGGTGGCTTTGGAAGTAGAGCAAGTCTAGGAAGAGAGGGCTAGAGCACATGGTCCTCCCGTGTGAAACAGCAGGGTTCGGACAGCGTTCTCTTTCGTTGTTCCTTTCATTCATAAATACCAGGAGCTCGCCTCTATCTGTGAGTGCCAGGAGCTTCACAGCCATCCATCCATCCTCCTTTCTACAGCAAGCCCCAGCTCAGTCGGGCATCAAAGACATCACTAAGCTACCAATTCATTTCCATCTCAGCTTCTTCATCCATGCCCTGACACTGGGAGAGGGACCCCAGCCTAAGCAGCCGCCCCACCTGCCCAGAGCGTGTGTGGAGGGAAGCTCATTCGTGCCATTGGGAACACGGTGGGTTTTCAGGAAACTTTTTCCCCCTGCAGTGCAAAACTCTCAAATTCGCCCCCCATTTCCCGGCCATATGGCTCCACTTGCCGCCCCTCCTCTCCGCGGCTGGAGGTTGACTGGCCCCCCTGCCTGCGTAAGAGCCGCTGGAGGCTGGGCTTCAGGCGCGGACCGGACCAGGGCGGCTCTTATTCTGAAGGGGCGAGGGGGGCTCATTTCCTGACAGCTATTTACTTAAAGCAAATGATTAGTTTTGGAAGGATGGACTCTAACATCGAATCAATTACAAGACGCGGTCTCTGAGAGCACTGCAGTCTGAACTGGAGGGAACGAGGGAGGAGGAGGAGGAGGAGGAGGAAAAGTCAGAGAGGACGTGGACATATTTTTGACTCTTTCTCTAGACTTTTCATTGCGGATTAACGTGTGAACGGGAAGGTAAGGGGGGGGGGTTTCCACTTTTTATGCTCGTTCCAGGGGACGTTGCCGATCCGGATCCAAGGAATGGAAGGTTGCTGGGGATCAGCCCCTGTGTGGACTGGAGAGCCAGGGCACGGGGGCGGCTCACCTCAGGGGATCCTCGCTGGGAACCCTAACTCTGGAAGTTTGCGCCTGAGACTCAAAGGGCGCTGGAGACTTTCGCTCCTCGGCGGGCAGCTCCCTCCTTGGGGGGCTCGCACGGAGAGTTGCTAGGGCTGGGAAGGTGGTTTGTCCCGGGAAGGTGACGCGTTCCCCCTCCAGTGAGAACGCTCTGAATGGAGGCAGCGCGCTTTGTTGGAGAGGGCTGTGGAGAGGGGCGATGGGGGGGTTGGATGGAGACGGGGGGCGGGCGAGGTCGGGGCACTCGCTGGACCCCGAGAAAGGCAGCGAGGGCACTGGTCGAGGAGCGACGGATGGACACGTATCACCGGTCCCCTTCGGCTCCGGAGATGGATGGAACAGGAGCTCCAGCGGCCTGGGGGCAGGGGAGAGAGCAGCGATCGCCCGGGAGTGGCGGGGCTAGGGGCCCCCGACAGTCTGGACTGGGGGGCGGCAGCCGGGGACCACCCTTCGGGGGACGCGGGGCCCCTGTCTGGAGGAGGCTGCCCCGCTGGCGGAAAGGCTGCGCTAATGACAAACACATTTGGGCTGGGGCGGAGGGGCCACCGCGCCGCATTCCTGCCGACGGGCTGGGAGCGATTCCGCGCCCCCCTATCGCCAATCTGGAGTGAAGCCCTTTGTGTGAAGACAGGGATCGGCGGAGGAATCCCGTAACGGGAAGGGAAGCGGAGAGTTTGCCGAGGAGCTCGGATCAGCTCTCGGGGCAGCGTACGCGGGGAGCTGAGAGGGCTTGGCGGAGGTAAGAGGAGGGTCTTTCTCGGACCCTCACTTGGTCGCCGTGGTCCCAATCCCCCCTTGGCTTTTATCTAGCCCTCCTTCCCTCCATCAGGTCCGATCTGCCGTTCCTCTCTTCCATTGTCCCTCCCTCGTCTTTTCCTGCCCCTCCCGAGCCCCCTCCCCTGGCGGGGGACTGTCTGCAGGGGCAAATCATCCCCCATCCCGATCCCTGAGCCCGGCGGTTTTTACACCTCGCTCTCCGTTCTCCCTGCAAGCGGGGAAGCTGAACTCTGCGCTCTGGGCTGTTACCTGGCGGTGTCCCAGTTCACACACACCCAGCTGCGCTCCTCGTGCGATGCCAGAGCCACAGAGCTGCCAGCATCCCCTAGCTGTCTGCCCCGTCCCTGGCAGCCCAGACGGACGAGCCCTTTGGGTTGTGCCCAGGGAGTGTAAGGGACCATCAGCCCTTGTGCGGTGTTTGTGAGGTGTTTGGTTGGATTTTGTCGGGCGCTGAGGTTGAAACTTGCTGACCCTGCCAGGCTGGAGTCCCCCTGGAAAAGTCCCGAGAGGACTAGGAAATGGCTTCTTGGCTCTTTGCTGCATTGCTCAACATTTTTGGACTGGGACCCAGAAGCGAGTAGACACTCCTAAGAACAGGGCTGGACCGTGTTTTGGAGCAAGATGGATGGATCTAAGGAGGCAGCACCGGCCCTCAAGACTCAGCAACACGTCTGGGAACAGAGACTGGGGTAAATCCCAGAGGAGAGCGTGCTGCCTTTAGTTCCTGTGAGGTAATTACAATGACAAAAAGAACAGGAGTACTTGTGGCACCTTAGAGACTAACAAATTTATGACAAACATCACTTTAACTGCGCTGCTGCCTGGATTACAGGGCTATTTTCTGTCCGGAGTTTTCAACCCCACCACATGCAAATTCTCCAATTGCTTTGGCGACGTCCCACCCAGATGTCCAATAATCCCTGCGAAGAGCGCCTTGCAAACAATTGCATCCCCGGGAGCAGATTTGGGAGTGACACGTCTGGCGTGCACACCTCTCTCTCCGTGCCCATTCATCAGACGGGTGGTCCGCGGAATGCGGATTGCGCTCGCCCCACCGAGCGCGTCCAGCTGTAACTGCGTCGTGTGTCAGCCATGGAGCGTTCCCGGGTTGAGAAGGTTTGAGGTCAGGCAGAGAGAGAAACTCTTTCCCTCTATCCCTAGTGGACGCCTTTATCTGCGCAGGGGAGTCCTCAGCCTCGGATCTCCCAGAAGACCGGGCATCCTGCATACACAGAGTGAATCCCTAACCTCTTCAAGCCCCCAGGAAAAGCGGCTTTGGGGGACCCTGCAGACTCCCCACAGCCGCTGTGGAGATCTGTTGGCACATGGAATAGTGTGGCCTAGGATTCGTGTCTGAAGTGGGCCTCTAAGGCTTGGGGAGGGGATTGAAAAAGAAGTTCTGAACAAGCGCGACAGATCAAGGAAATGTGGCGCTTGGAAAACATTTGATTCACCCCAGTGAAGACCGATTTTGTGGTGCTCTTCCCCACCTCTTGTTTCGTTTCTGTCTGGCTCGCCTAAAGGTCGTTGCTTCAGCTTGGCAAAGCTCTTGCTATTGTTTCCTATGAAAATAGCGAAGTGGCTGAAATTTGACGTCACTGCTGGCGTCTCTCATTGTTCTTGGGCTCTTTAGGTTAATCCTTTCTCGCTAACTCTCAGCTCCCTCGGCTTTTTCCAATATGGTAAACATTATAGATAAGTATTCCCTAAAATGTGTTGACTTTCTTCGCTTCGGGGTACCCTAGTATCATTTGGCCTTCACTATCTCGGAGTCAGTCAATAAGTGGCAAGCGTTGGCCAGACGTTTAAAAAACAGAACAGGGGGTTTGAAAGTGTGAATGTAAACATTCCCCGCGCCCCCCCAAACTAAACAAACTGATAACATCAAGGCAGTCTTTACAATGTCCAGTTGTTCTCTGGCAATGGAGACTGACTGGGCTTCCCGGTTGAGTCCTGTGTATGTATGTGTGTGTGCATGCAAGCCATAATGCCAAAGTCCTGTAGACTTTAACAGAAAGGGGTCACACGGTTGGTTTTTTGAATGTAATTGAGAATTATATTCCCCGCCATAGGATTTTGGTTCACATAAATGACATCATTTTTTATTGAAATGTATAGGGGTTTTAGAGTAGTTTTCATAGCACCCTATTCAATTTCCATGGACTTTACTGGTTTCATCTCTATTAAGTTCTCCAGGAATTTTCCATATGTGTGAGTGTGTGTACTTGGGTTTTGAACCCACACTGAAATTTTAACCTGACCTAGTGAGAGCGGAGTTGGGGAGAAGAATGGTTTGATGGATCTGACACAGTTTCCTCCAGGTTGAAATCTCAAACCTTGGTTTCTCGCAGAGGAGAATTGGTTGCGCCCCATAGGGAGAGAAGGAAATTAGTAGTCAGGTCTGGGAGGAGGGGAAGGGAAGAATTACAGAGCTCCGTCCTTCAGCTGTGTGTGTGTATATATATATATTCTATAGGAATGTTGATTCTGCAGTTTTTTCCCTGCCAGCAATTAGTGCCATACGTTTCGGTGTGTGCATAAGGGAAACATCTCAGCCTCCTCCCATAAAGCTGGGGGCGGGATGTAGGTGGCGAGAACATACCTAACCGTTCACCATTTGTTAGCATCGACAGTTAAAAAAGGCAGCCAGAGAAACTTTCCCCCGCAAACAAAGCCTGCCTGGTTTAACAGAAGTGCTGAGGTTGCTTTCGGCAGCCCCAAAGCAGCGCTCTGGGGAGGGAGTGGGGGACGAGGCGTTAGCTAAACGGCTAGCGCCGGAGAGCAGGGCTGGTGCCTGTGTGGTGTGAGGTGGTGGATAGGCTGGATGATGCCAGACAATGTTTCCCATGGGAAGAGGCAGGAGTAGATTATCCAATCTGGGGCAGGCTGGGCTCTGCAAAAGCCGTTTGCAGTGTTGTACTGCCCCCTAGCAGTCATTCTTATGGTTACCGCCTGAGCCCTACAATGTTTACGGCATATTGGCCAGATTCTAGACTGTGTCTGAGTAGTACCGTCCCCTTAGGTTAGTCCCACTGCTTGATTTCAGTGGGGTTACACTGCTGTAAAGCGGGAGCAACACACTGAGGAATCAGGCCTATGGTTCTTGACCGCAAGAATTTCCAATCTCAGGGGCCGATCCTGGCATGGGATCTACTAGTGCAGTTCCCTGCACCAACCCAGAATCCTCTTGAAGTCAATGTCACTCCAGCCAGACTCAGGGGCTGTGTCAGTGGATTCAGAGACAGGATCAGACAAAAACAATAGGACAGAAATCGAAGATTTTGAGGTTCACCTTCCATTTGGCTCAAGCAAAATTTGAACAATGGAGATCTGGCTTTTTAAAAAAAATGCCCTAGAATCAGGGAAGTATGATCTTCAAACAAGCATCTTCATTCTTAGCTTCTATTCAGTTTTTTTTTTTTTTAGAAATGTCCCTGGCTAAGCAATGATTTGAATGAAGAGAAATATGTCCAAAAACTTGATAAAGTGTCAAGAAGCATGAAAGTATATGTAAAAAGTTCAAGGGAATTTCAGAATCCCCAAACACCAGGTTCCCCTGGTCATCTTACTTTTAAATGATGGCTCTGTTTCTGCAATTACATCAGTGTGTGCGGGGAGGGGACGCACAGGACTCTGCCAGCGTGGCTCTGACTGTAGGATTGGGGCCATATTTGCTATTATTTGTCACCAGATGTGTAGGCTACAAAGAGATCTTTATATAGCAGGGTGGTTTATACAGATTTTGGTACCAAGGAAAGCAGGATGTAGTAAGGTGCATTTTCAACCTCATTTTCTTTGTATTGTACTCTGGGTCAAAACTAGGGTTTGGATGCATATCATACTCTGATGGCCTTGAGCCAAAGAGGTTTGTTTCAGCTGTTTCAAAGAGCAGGGTTTTCTGAAGACTGCCTCACTGCGCCCCCCAAAAAGTGCTAATAGCTTAAAATGCAAACAGACAGAATCTCCTGCCCCCACCCCCAGGCTTTCAAGTTAAACTTTCCTTTGGGTTTCCCACTTTAAACTCTCTTCTCTTTTTTAAATTTTAGACCCTGATCCTGCAATTTGATCTGCAAGGAGAAAGCTTTATTTCTCTCTATGAAGTCAAAGGGGCTAAACATGGGGTTTGCTCCATTGATCAGACTGCAGGATTAGGGTCTGAGATTGTAAGCTCTTTGGGACAGATATTGCTGCCTGTGTGTCCTGTATAGTGCTGGACACACTGTAAGAACTTAATACAGAGTTAGAATTGATATTTAATAACTGTTACTTTGCTGTGGTACAGGAGAGATATTCAGGCCACCCTGAATGTAAATATTTTGAAAGGAGCAGTGGAGCAACCCTCTCTTTAAGAAAAAATATTTAATTTTAAACTGCACTTTGCTAGTGTATTTTAAGTGGACAGACACAGAAGTGTTTTTGGTTTTGGTTTGCGTTGTCCTTTCCTCTTAGCACACACGGAAATCTTCAGAACTTGCTATTGTTCACTCAGGGCCGGCTCCAGTCACCAGCTTACCAAGCAGGTGCTTGGGGTGGCCACTTCGGAGAGGGGCGGCAGGTCCAGCTGTTCGGCGGCAATTCGGCGGACGGTCCCTCACTCCTGCTCGGAGCAAGGACCTTCCGCCGAATTGCCGCCGCAGATCGCGATCGCGGCTTTTTTGTTTTGTTTGTTTGGCTGCTTGGGGTGGCCAAAACCCTGGAGCTGGCCCTGTGTTCACTGTACAGAGGGTCTTGCTTTTGGGGGAGTCTTATAAGGAAAGGAGCCAATGACTAAGAAAAGTTACAGGGGGCAGTGTCCACATGTTTACATCAACCTAGTAAAGCACACCATTTTCATCCAATGTTTTCCTTTTTCTTACCTTGATCCAGCCTTTCCTGGAAAAGCTCAGAGCTTCCCCAGAGAAGCCAGTTTTAGGGAGAACCTGCACTAAATGCATCAAAATCATTCCCAAATTAAGATAATCTCATCATTATGTTTCCAAAACCTGAAGAGATAATAGTATTTCAACCTGCTTCTGCAACAGTCTCCACTAGTACTGCAGGTGTGAGTAAACGTTGCAGGATCAAGTCTTTTTACCAAGACTATTGCTCATATGAAGTTAAAATAATTTCCGTATAAAATGACAGTTTCAAGTTGATCCATGGAGACGTTCAAATTCCATCTACCACCTCTGAGACTGACGCTCCTTTCTGCCAAAGAAATGCAGTTTGGCTGCATTAGTGTGGATCAACACTGCCATCACGTGGCCAATTGGATTAAATGCAGGTGACTGGTACCAAATGGGAAATGAGGCTATTTTCTGTAATTTAATGATGGATATACAATTTTACTTTCCTGGTGAAGCTCTTTGCCTAATTTATGACAGTATGAACGATTAATATCATTCTTTCCTCCCCATAGTGCTGGTGCTTTCCCTCTAGCATGTGCAGAATGACTGACTGGGTCTCTCATTATTTTCTATATGGATTTTTCCATCAAGGTTCACAAAATTCTGGATACAAATTTTACCAAATTTTGTTTTGAATTACACACCACAGTCAATGGAACTACTCATGGTGGTAAGCATTGTACTTGATAGCAACCGTTTGGCATACCAGGTCCTTATAAACAAAGATTTTGATTATATTCCTTTCATGATTTAGTATCATCTAAATAAGTAACTGAAATATTAACATTTAATGTAGATCACTTAAAAAAATCTAAATAAACACAATTACTGCTTTACTCTATACACTCTGCTTTATATATATTGGCAGACTAATTTGGAAATTTGAGCCAGATCTAACATTCTTTGCATGCCTCCCTATTCCCATTATAATCAGTGGGTGTCCTAGGGTGTACAAGGAATGAAGAATCACACCATAAGTATGCATACACTGCACATGTGCTTATGACCTTGGCCCAGATCCTCAGCTAGTGTAGCTCTATTGACTCAATTTACATCAGATAAGGATTAGGTTCATGGGGCGTTCTGAACTGAACCTGGGGTGTTTACTGAAGCTGACTAAATGAAAATAGTTAAAATAAAGAGCATGGAGGGCTGGGATGGACTAACTCTTTCTCTTGCCTGGGATGAGACAATTTTTTTTGCCCACTTAGAGGCTGGAGCTAAATATACTTACTCCCACCAATAGTTTGCCTAAAGTATTGGCACTGAGTTAGGCAAGCAGGCAAAGCAAGCATATGCAAGAACCCATTGGCATGGCATTGTTCTTTAGATGCATGACAATGTGCAATTCCATTCAAACTGGAATCATGATGAAGAATCATATGTGTATCCCTATTCTCTCTTTCTCAGTTGCTGTAGGTTCCTCTGGACCTTGTCCCATAGGTTAATATGTCATTGATGGAAGGTATCAAAGGAATAAGATCTCAAAGAGCAACCAGTCTGTCAATGAACATCTAGTAAATCCCTACATTGCTGCATTGGATTCAGGCACTTAGGTCCCATTGGCTTGCATGGTAGCTAAGTTGTTTGACTATGTCACAGCATAGTGTCATCACCCATAGTTACACTGGGTATTATAGGCCTGATTCTCCATGTACTTATACTGCTTTTATACCAGCATCACTTGCTTCATTGACTTCAATTGAAGTTACTCCAGATTTGCATCAGGGTAAGAGGAGAATCAGATCCACATTATTTTTTTATAGACTGCATTGTTTTCAATGAATAGTCCATAAAAGCAATATATTGTGGTAAGAGATCCTTCTATCTGTAAAGGCAAAAGGAAACCTGGCAGACAGTATGGGTAACACTGTCTTGGGGAATGTGAGCTGTTAGCAGTCAGATCAATAAGGCAGAGTATGGGAATTCTTTAAAGATGTACAGTGGGTTACTTTATCTAAAGAAATACAGGATATAAATGTGATAAAAGTGAGAAAAGAGGCTGAAACCAGAGGACTTCTTTGATGTCCCAGAGTCTGTTATCAGTGGGAGGCAGATACATAAACACATGGCCATTATTGTTAATTGCAAAATCAGGCTGAATGGCTTGTCTTTGCTGGAATGCTGTCTGTTGAATTTCTGAAGCTGTTGCATATGTTCCTTTAGCTGGTACACCTCTACCCCGATATAACGCGACCCGATATAACACGAATTCGGATATAACGCGGTAAAGCAGTGCTCCGGGGAGGGAGGGGGGCGGGGCAGCACACTCCGCAAGTTCAATATAACGCGGTTTCACCTATAATGTGGTAAGATTTTTTGGCTCCCAAGGACAGCGTTGTATGGGGGTAGAGGTGTAGTTTGTAAATCTTTATGTTGCCACCACACTGCTCAAGTCCTTCACAATGTGTGAAACACATTTTGGTTTGCAACACTGCTTTATATGTTTGTTCCACATGTGGCAAGAGGTAGGAAAGACCGTCTTCACTGTTGAGGATATGAGAGAGATTCCCAAATCTGAGCCATTCTTTTTGGGTGACATATCTGAGGAACTGTCCCAAATTGAGGTGTCATTAGAGGAGGTTTTGGAACAAATTGATAAACTAAACAGTAATAAGTCTCCAGGACCTGATGGAATTCACCCAAGAGTTCTGAAGGAACTCAAATGTGAAATTGCAGGACTACTAAGTGTCATCTGTAACCTATCATTTAAATCAGTTTCTGTACCAAATGATTGGAGGATTGCTAATGTGATGCCAAGTTTTAAAACAGACTCTAGAGGTGACTCTGGCAACTACAGGCCAGTAAGCCTCACTTCAGTACTGGGCAAATTGGTTGAAACTATCGTAAAGAACAAAATTGTCAGATACATAGATGAACATAATTTGTTGGGAAATAGTCAACATGGTTTTTGTAAAGGGAAATCATGCCTCACCAATCTACTAGAATTCTTTGAGGGGGTCAATAAGCATGCGGACAAAGGAGATCCTGTGGATATAGTGTAGATAGACAGTTATTTGTTGCAATTACCCCTGGAACACTGCCTGCTGTCTTATGGCTATTTACTCTGTATAGCTTAGAAGGCCAGAAAACTCCAAATAATCCATTATTCTTCATGCTGCTTGGGAAAAGAGGTACTGTAGAAACACAACTGCAGTCTTATGCTCCCTCTTGTGTTTTACTAGAGAGCTTCAGTGTGTGTTTTAAATAGAAGGTCTCTTGATCAAGAGAATTCGTATTAAATGAAACAAATGCATTTATTGAACAAGCTAAAGAGTAGATACAGTGGTAAAATAGAACTTTAGCAGATGATGGTACTTTGCAGTATAGAAAGTGGTTTTAAATATACTCTTTCTCTCAGAATTGCTACCATCCCATTTTGTAAGCAGTCCAAAGGCCAGATCTTGCCATCAGTTACACCGATGTAATTCCATTGCAACTTCACTCACTTCTGTGGAGTTACTCCATGCATAGAGCAATGTAATTATGGGCCCAGTTCTGCAAGGTGCTGTAGGGATTGTGGGCAGAAGGTGCTCAGCACGATTGGGCCACGAGTGCAGAATTTGGCCCCAAGTGTCCATATCCTTTCCCGGAGAGAGCTCTGTATGCAGTATGCAGTATGTACTCCTAAACTGGCGATGGAGTCAGAAGCACTGCAAATAGCTCGTTGCCTTTATCAATCTGTTCACTAACTTTACTTTTTCCTGCTTTTCTATTTTTCTGTTTCAGTTGTCCGCAGTGATGGGTACTTCCCCAAAGACATTCCTGCTCCTGGGATGTCTCCTGACAGGTAACATTCCTAAATTCCCTGTGTCGCTTCATTCGTTCTCCTTTGTAAGTCTGGGCTTAAATCAATGCTCTACAGTCAATGTTTCAGATAGATTTGTTTTCAGTGTGATCAGTGATCATGAATTACAGCACAGATGATCAGTCAAGCGGCTGTAAATTCTTTTTTTCTGACATTAATTATAATAAAAGCTGCCGGGAACACAGTCCCAAGCCTGTGATTAAATCTACTGAAAATATTCATATTTTTATGGACAGTCCATCTTTTGTTACTGATTAAGGATCACAGCTTGGTGCCTGTGAGCAGCCCAATGAAATGGATATGATACAAGGGAGTTCCCTGGTGGAGGGGAATGGAATCCACTGTGAAGGTACTATTGCAGCCTCAGGGCTATAGTAACCTCTGCAGCTGCTTCTCCCTCTCCGGAGGGAAGAGGTTTGGCCAGTGGATCTGTGTCACTGCTGATGCACCAGCCATGGTTTCTTCAGCAGCACATGGGAGCAGAGCTCCATGATGTGCAGCAGAGTGCAGGCTGCCTGGGTGGGATCCTTGCATCCTCCTACTCTGTGCCACATAACTGCACTGGCGAGCAGGCCTTCCATATCAGCAGAAGGAAATGGGGGGGCAGGGCAGGCTTTGCCTCAAAGTGCCAAATATAAAAAAGGCCAGCATTACTAGCTAATATAGGTAAAATACTTGCAATGGCTTGAGAAGCAGAACAGAGACCATGATGGGCCCAGTCCTTGGTTCCACTAAACCTGCTTTGTGCTGGTCCTCTGGCATACAAACCGTTTATCTACCTCCCTGATGATTTCTCGGGGGCCTCGGGGGCTGTGGTGCTGGGTGGGATTCTCACTTAGGGTGGGGACTGAGCCAGCCTTTGGCCAGCCAAAGTACAACTTGCCCAAACCTGAGAACCTGGCCTTGTAAATCCAGATTGCACATTAAAAGCACTCCATTACAATATCCTGTTCAATGAGTTATGGTTATATTTGATTACTGGTCTTCCCTACATTTCAACTAGAGGTGGGCCTGAGCCACTTAGGGTATGTCTACACTGCAACTGCTCCCCCCTCAAGCCCCAAACTCACAGTAGTGAATCTCAGAGCTTCGGTCTACAGACTTGGGCTTGCAAGACTGACAGTATGGCACTAAATATAGCCACATAGACATTCTGGCTTGATCTGGAGCTTGGGCTTTGAGGTGGGCTTAAAAACCCAAGCTGGAATGTCTGCATGGCTATTTTTAGCACCATAGCGCAGTCCAAATTTGTAGAGCCAAGCTCTGAGACTTGCTGCCGCAGGTTTTTGGTTTTTTTTTGCAGTGGAGACATAACCAAAGTTTGGATCCAGGCTACTTCTGTAGCCCATTGCAGAAATAGAGGTCAGCTGTAATATTCAGATACAGGTGTTGATCTAGCATGAAATGCTCCCAAAGTCTGGGGCTGTTTGGATCTGGGGTTTTGGTTGAGAGCCATCGTTAATTTCAACTCTTTGTCTTTCATTTCTCGATGCAAGTCGGACTGAACTGAAATGAACAGCATTTTGTCTGAGAGGTTCAAAGAGGAATTATTTTGCCCTCCATAGGGAAATGCTGTGACTGCTTTCAAAAGAGCACATTTACAGGGAGATTAGTGTGTCTGGTTTGTCCATAAACATGGCTGTTTTATAGATAAATCACTCATCCTTTCTCACATCTATGTGGTGAGCATGCTCTGCTTAGTAACTGGTTACTTATTCATTTCCTTTGACAGGACCATGGCTAACTTTCTGCCAGCTTCCATTGCCGACTGTTCTTCCGAATAGAGATGAAATGGTCGTGCAACTGAATGCCTCGTTTACTCTGAAATGCTCTGGAGACAGCGAAGTGACCTGGCAATACCCAATGGCTGAAGGAAGCCACAGAATAGACATTAGAAATGAAGAGAACAACAGTGGTCTCTTTGTGACTTTGCTGGAAGTGGGGAATGCCTCAGCTGCTCATACCGGATTATACACTTGTTACTACAATCATACTCAAGAGGAGGACGGGGAGGTGGAGGGGAAGGATATCTACATCTATGTGCCTGGTGAGTGGGTTATGCTGTGTTACAGCAGAAAGGTTTGCCTGGGTTGCTGTGCAGGAATATCAAGGATCCTATTAAGCATTTAAATGGAGAGCAACCTCTTGATCTGGGCTGGGCATGCTCCTCTTCACATTGATTTTGTTTGGTGTGAATTAGTTCTCATGAAAGGTAATGAATTGACAGTCTTGGAGGCTGAAGCTTTCTCTCCACAAAGCGCAGGAAAAAGGCAGTGCTCCCCGAGTGGATACCTCGACTCAGACATGGAGACCAGCTCTGTGGGTGCACATTGCACGTTGATGTCTCCATGCCCATTGGCTTCTTTGCTAAGGCTTCCAACCAGGGGAACACTAATGCCAACTATTTGGTGGTGGCTTGTGTAATGTGTTCTTTGGAACTGTACTGAGACCAACTAACTTCATGAATACCACTATATAGTCAATGAATGGCAATGGCTCTTGGTCTCTATTGACCTAAATTGGGTTTGAACTGATAGCTCAGAGGCTATATATTGCTACTTTCAAATATCTGAAGTGTGGAAATGTATTAGTTGATAGAAAACTTGAACTGCTGTGCAGGAGGATGCTCACATAATAACAGGGTGGACTCAAAGGTGATTAGTAAGATGTAGATGTATTGGAACGCCTGTCACGAGAGAAGTGGAAACAAGAAATGGCAGTGAGTGCCAGTCTGGCAAAATAATGTGGTGTTTTCATGCATCATTTGCCACAATTTTCACAGCAAGACCTGCCTTTTCTGCCCCCAAACTTCCTCTCATGCACAGTGGAAAAATCTATTGGACCCAAAGAAATGACAATGGCAAAAACAATGAGGCAGTGTTGTCTAGTGGATAGAGCACATGACTGTGACCCAGGAGATCTGGGTTTCATTCCCAGCTCTGCCTCTTGCCCTCTGGGTGACCCTGGGCAAGCCACGTCCCTTCTGTGTCTCAGTTTCCCCCATCTGTAAAATGGGATAATGATACTGACCTCCTTCATAAAGCACTTTGAATCTACCGAGTTAGGTATTATATTATTATTAATAAGAACACCACCCAACAGGGATCTCAGGGAACATCACCCCACCTGGTAATCTTCCCATTCCCTTTTAGAAGTGCCCACCTCGCCCCCTCCTCCCCCACACACTCTGGGGGGTAGGGATGTCACAGAATGTCCTTCTGTCTGCCAATTCTCTGAGGTTGGAGTCAAAAGTCTATTAAACCTATTTGTCATGGCTGTAATAGGAGTCACTGGCTGAGTTATGACTGACTGTCACATGAATCCATGAGCGCCAACGTCTTTAAAAAGGAAGAGACTATAACATTTGACATCTGGGGATTTTGGTGTGGGACAGGGGAGGGTGAATGGGTGGATGGGGGAGCAAGTGGGTGGATGTGAAGATAAATGGCTTTACAAACTTTATTGAGAGCCTTTGTAAAGCATTATACAGGACTGCCTGGGGCTCTATTGGGAAACAGGGGATTAGAGACAGCACTGCAGGGACACAAAGTACCAGACTGGTAGACTGGCAGTGAGCATTCTGAGTGTTAGCCTGCAAGAGCAGTACAGGAAAACAAGGGAAAAGAAAAGAGGTTGCAAGTCACCCTGTAAAACTTTAACATGTTTGTGAAGGGAAAAAAAAGGATGCCTGGACTACAAAAAGATTATGTAAGGGGAAAGAGGCAGTATCAGAGATTTTGTGAAGTGCCCTAAAACTTTGAAGTCTGTTTTGCAATGGCATTTGGGTTTTCTATAGACCATAACATGCAATGTTACCATGACTCTTCCATGATTTCCCTCTACATTTCCCTTGAAAAACTTGCAGCACCAACACTTGTTCTTAAGACAGTTATTGAAGCGTGGGCAGAGCCTGTGGGCTTTATACCTCAGTATCAAGTCAGTTCTAAGTGGCCCACTACAAAAATGATGCTGCTGGATAGTGCAATAGCTCACTATTAGCTCGAGGACAAGGACGATGAAGACAGATATCAGAAGACTCCTTCAAGAAGGTTTTTTTTTATGTTCCTGTGATGTACCAGGGTGCAATCCAAACTAATGAGTAGTTGTGTCACCCCTGCCCTCTAACCTGTGGTGCCCTTTACACTGCTTTGCTGCTGTAGCCTCCAGCTTGGACTGCTCACAAACAGCCTCCAGCATGCAAGTCACTCCCAGCTATGTATGTGTGTGTGCTGCAGCCAGCCGGCCACTCCTTGGCCTCAGCAGCCTTGGTTATACTGCAGAGTGACCTCAGCACACACCCAGTCTTAGATTTCCCCCCAGAAATGTATGTCTTGTATTGTCCAGCCCCCTCCTAGACAATACAAATTCATACAAAGTCTGTATTCCTTTAATAGAAATAATATGCATACACCTTGTGACCTCAAATGGAATTTCACAGACACATCAATTTAAACACACTGGGTTAGATAAAACAAGTTTATTAACTACAAAGAGATAGATTTTAAGTGAATGCAAGTCAGAAATGGTTATAAGGAAAAGATAAGATGCAGCTGGGGCCTAACTTAAACTATGTTAAATTCAAAGCAATGTTTTTCTCACCACATGCTCTCAGAAGTCTTACTGACCAAACTTTTTAGGCCAGGATCCCTTCGCCAGTTCAATGGCTGCTTCCTGTGTCCCTTCTGGTGTAGTTAAGCAATGAACAGAGAGAGAGAGGAAGAGAGGAGGGATTCCTTTGGGGTGTTTGTCTCTTTTTATAGTGTTAGTCCCCCTCCTGGAAAACATTTCCAGCTGAGATTCTGGAGACAAAAAATCTATGGAGAAGGATGTTCCCTGCTGTTTTTTCTTACCTGTTTGAGGTTTCTTTGTCTACCCTTCCTGCTTGATGACTTGTTTATTGCTTAAATGCAAAGTAAGCAGTGACTTGTTTATTGCTTAAATGCAAAGTAAGCAGAGCGCACATTCCTTTGTTTGAGACAGACAAGAAGAACAGGAGTACTTGTGGCACCTTAGAGACTAACAAATTTATTAGAGCATAAGCTTTCGTGGGCTACAACCCACTTCTTCGGATGCATATTGAGTGAAACATATCGAGGAGATATATATACACACATACAGAGAGCATGAACAGGTGGGAGTTGTCTTACCAACTCTGAGAGGCCAATTAAGTAAGAGAAAAAAAACTTTTGAAGTGATAATCAAGGTAGCCAAGTACAGACAGTTTGATAAGAAGCAAGTGTGAGAATACTTACAAGGGGAGATAGATTCAATGTTTGTAATGGCTCAGCCATTCCCAATCCCTATTTAGCCCTGAGTTGATTGTGTCTAGTTTGCATATCAATTCCAGCTCAGCAGTCTCTCGTTGGAGTCTGTTTTTGAAGTTTTTCTGTTTTAAGATAGCCACCCGCAGGTCTGTCATAGAATGGCCAGACAGGTTAAAGTGTTCTCCCACTGGTTTTTGAGTATTATGATTCCTGATGTCAGATTTGTGTCCATTAATTCTTTTGCGTAGAGACTGTCCGGTTTGGCCAATGTACATGGCAGAGGGGCATTGCTGGCACATGATGGCATATATCACATTGGTAGATGTGCAGGTGAACGAGCCCCTGATGGTATGGCTGATGTGATTAGGCCCTATGATGGTGTCACTTGAATAGATATGTGGACAGAGTTGGCATCGGGCTTTGTTACAAGGATAGGTTCCTGGGTCAGTGTTTTTGTTCAGTGATGTGTGGTTGCTGGTAAGTATTTGCTTTAGGTTGGGGGGTTGTCTGTAAGCAAGGACAGGTCTGTCTCCCAAGATCTGTGAGAGTAAAGGATCATCTTTCAGGATAGGTTGTAGATCTCTAATGATGCGCTGGAGAGGTTTTAGTTGGGGGCTGAAGGTGACAGCTAGTAGTGTTCTGTTATTTTCTTTGTTGGCCCTGTCTTGTAGGAGGTGACTTCTGGGTACTCGTCTGGCTCTGTCAATCTGTTTTTTCACTTCAGCAGGTGGGTATTGTAGTTTTAAGAATGCTTGATAGAGATCTTGTAGGTGCTTGTCTCTATCTGAGGGATTGGAGCAAATGCGGTTATATCTTAGAGCTTGGCTGTAGACAATGGATCGTGTGGTGTGTCCTGGATGGAAGCTGGAGGCATGTAGGTAAGTGTAGCGGTCAGTAGGTTTCCGGTACAGGGTTGTATTTATGTGACCATCGCTTATTAGCACAGTAGTGTTTTGCTCCAATCCCTCAGATAGAGACAAGCACCTACAAGATCTCTATCAAGCATTCTTAAAACTACAATACCCACCTGCTGAAGTGAAAAAACAGATTGACAGAGCCAGACGAGTACCCAGAAGTCACCTCCTACAAGACAGGGCCAACAAAGAAAATAACAGAACACTACTAGCTGTCACCTTCAGCCCCCAACTAAAACCTCTCCAGCGCATCATTAGAGATCTACAACCTATCCTGAAAGATGATCCTTTACTCTCACAGATCTTGGGAGACAGACCTGTCCTTGCTTACAGACAACCCCCCAACCTAAAGCAAATACTTACCAGCAACCACACATCACTGAACAAAAACACTGACCCAGGAACCTATCCTTGTAACAAAGCCCGATGCCAACTCTGTCCACATATCTATTCAAGTGACACCATCATAGGGCCTAATCACATCAGCCATACCATCAGGGGCTCGTTCACCTGCACATCTACCAATGTGATATATGCCATCATGTGCCAGCAATGCCCCTCTGCCATGTACATTGGCCAAACCGGACAGTCTCTACGCAAAAGAATTAATGGACACAAATCTGACATCAGGAATCATAATACTCAAAAACCAGTGGGAGAACACTTTAACCTGTCTGGCCATTCTATGACAGACCTGCGGGTGGCTATCTTAAAACAGAAAAACTTCAAAAACAGACTCCAACGAGAGACTGCTGAGCTGGAATTGATATGCAAACTAAACACAATCAACTCAGGGCTAAATAGGGATTGGGAATGGCTGAGCCATTACAAACATTGAATCTATCTCCCCTTGTAAGTATTCTCACACTTGCTTCTTATCAAACTGTCTGTACTTGGCTACCTTGATTATCACTTCAAAAGTTTTTTTTCTCTTACTTAATTGGCCTCTCAGAGTTGGTAAGACAACTCCCACCTGTTCATGCTCTCTGTATGTGTGTATATATATCTCCTCGATATGTTTCACTCAATATGCATCCGAAGAAGTGGGTTGTAGCCCACGAAAGCTTATGCTCTAATAAATTTGTTAGTCTCTAAGGTGCCACAAGTACTCCTGTTCTTCTTGCGGATACAGACTAACACGGCTGCTACTCTGAAACCTGAGACAGACAAGTTTGCCAACCTCAGTTTGGAACATGTGTTAAGATCACCATACAGTGGAATCTTATAACTTCACCTACAGTGTTGTCACACATATTTTATCAGGAGAATATTGACTAGCAAATGAGTTTGCAGATGATACCTTGCAAGGCATACTTTGTACAAAGATTATTACAACAGTGGGTAGGGTGTGGACACAGGCGTACATTCTGTCACAGTCCCCTAGACCTGACCTACCAGATCTGCAAGGCATAGGCATCGTGTAGTTTTCCCCCCTCACTAAAGAGCCAGCTGACACTGTTGCAAAAGTTAATCTTTTTTCACCTAATTTTAGAATTTTCAGGAAAATTTCTGTTTCCACCATGAACTTTTTTTGTCTTTTGTTTTGTGCAAAGCAATTCCTTTCCCTACAATAAATTACGAGGGCTGTGGGGGAAAGCAAATTTCTTTCTTAAAACCAGGATGCTTTATGACTGTTACATAAGGATGTAATAGCCATACAAGCAGGAAAAAAACCTAGGTGAAGCCTCTTTCTGTTTTTAATTACATTTGGAAAGCAAATGTACCGAGTTGGGTGGATATGAGTTCTATAGTGCTGTGTTTGGGTTGTTGTTACAAGGAGCCTGCCAGTGTGTTATACTCCCATTATTAAAATTGATGATGAACCTTGGCTCACAAGCTCTTAGGTTTGCAGCAGTTATTTGTGTGTTTAGAAGTGGCAGATTATGATCATTTTCAGAGCCGCTGTTTTAAAGTTGGGTATGTTTTGCAATTAGATTTTAAACCGAATTTGGATTGGATGGCTATTGGAACTGGGGTACATTGTGTTGGTTTTAAAAAATATTGGGGATTTGTTTGCTTTTTTATGGTTGTGTCTCATAATTGGAGAAACCACGTGGAACAACCATAGTTAATGACACCTAGGTACCATGGTGATGGACACATAGAAATACATAGAATCAGCTATGTAGATAGAAATATTTTAAAATAACAATCTAACTAATTTAGCTGAAAACCAATCCAATCAATGTCTTTGGTTTCTAATACTTTTTATTTGGGGGGGGGGGAGGCAGAAGAGAAGGAGGGAGAGGAACATTAAAAAGTGGTTTTTATAAAATGAATGTTTCAGGAACTCTTACCGTTGATTACAGGGGCTCTAAGATTACAGTTGAAAAGGAATTAGAATAAAAGAAGGAAATGATGGGTGACTGGAATGGGGAGACTGGGGTTCCCTCACCTTGGATTCCTCTCTACAATCACACACGCCTGTGGCAAGTTCAACATCATGTGCTTTATTTACAATGTGCTATACAAACACTTGTTCCCCATAGCTTAAGGCTTTTACCTCCTCTCCAGACACAGGATGTGAGGGGGGGAGAGCTCTTACCTCCCTGATATCATGGACTTCTCTAGACCTTTCATACTCTTCCTGTCTCTTTCTTCACTGTCCTCAGTTGATAAGCTGAATCACCTTGTTAACTGGTTAATCACCTGGCACTTAATCTATTGTCTCATCAATTTGCCCCATGTGGGGACTCTTACAAAGTGCACAGAGTGGTGAGTCAGCTTGTGTAGCTGCTCTCTGCGGACAGGAGAGCTTGTCCACACCGGTGCTTCCATCATGGGGGTGTTTTTTCACACCCCTGAGCAAATTAAGTTATACCAACAAAAGTGGTGATGTAGATATGTCCTTGGGCTATTCATGCTCTATCACAGTGATTTACACCAGTGAAAGCCAGGACATTTATTCTAAGCAGCCTAATATCCTTTTTGTGTGTGTCAGTTAATGTAGATCCAAAATATAAATCAAGGCCCCTGAGCTGGAAAATGGGACTTCTACCCTGAAGGTTTTGCTGGAAATTGTTGTTAGTGGGGTTGCATAACAAAAGGCAGAGTTCAGCCCTTCATTTTTATTTTATCCCGCAGGAATGGGCAACAATTTTCACACCTAAACATTAGTGGTTTTCTGGCTTTTTGCCTTTTGCCTGTGAATAGCATTGTAGGAAAACTCCACTAGATCCACATCTAAAGGAAATAATAACACTTCTCTTTTTCCTGGAGGCCTTAAACTTCCCAGTCTGGTACATTTCTGTTACATAGGATCCTGACTACTAGTTGGACTACTGAGATGTCTTCTTACATGTCTCATCAGATGGCAAATGTCATTATGGTGAGAGTGTGTCGACTCTGTGTGTGACTTTAACATAGTTGTGGTTTTACATATGATAAAGGAAATTGCTGGAAAAGTAAAGAAACAAAATATATTCATTTCTATCAAGGTGCATAATTATCTGCTGATGTCTCCATTCTTGTACTATGGACACATTAAAAATGATATAATGTAAAAATACATATCTTTTTTACAGATCCAGATATACCCTTCGTTCCTCTACTACCAGAGGATCAATTCATCCTAGTAGAAGATGGTGATTCCACCATTATCCCTTGTCGTACAAGTGACCCTAATGCTCAAGTAGCTTTAGTTAACAGTGAAGCCAAGGTCGTATATGCCTATTATGACAGCAAACAAGGCTTCCTAGGAAATTTTCCTGCAGGCTCATACACATGCCAAACAACTGTTAAAGAAGTGGAGTTCAAGTCAGATCAGTTTTTCATCTACATTTTGAAAGGTACTCTTTTTCAGTTTTTAAAGGAGAGTAAAAATATTGAGCCTGATTCTCTTCTTGCTTATACCATAATTGCGTAAACAAAATTGGAATCTAGTCCTTGAAGTCCACCATTCATATACTGCACATGGTTTTTAAACTTGGTACACTCTCTTTCTTTTTCCCTCAGCTACTTCAGAGCTGCCAGTTGAGATTGAGGCCCTTAAAACTGTATATAAAACAGGCGAAACGATTGTTGTAACTTGTGTGGTCTTTGACAACGAGGTGGTTAATTTACAGTGGAATTATCCAGGGAAAGTGGTAAATATCTCGTTTTGTTTCTGCATAATTGTAATTATCAGTTGGTGAGGAATATGGGGATGTGAAGGGGTCAGCTCTTCACTGTTAGAATGAGGACAGAGGAAGAGAGAAAACAGAACCATTTCTTTTATTTTTAGCTTATCACTATAGAAAATCAGTATCAGGTGTTAGAATTCATGTTAGTAAGTATGCAAAGCATTCAAGGGAGATGAGGGGTGACTAGGAGCATAAGAAGTTATCAGGGAGTGGGATTCTAGCGTTGAAGGAATAAAATCTCTGTGAATTTGTGCTCTAGAAAGCCTGGTGGAACAAAAATGGAATGTTCTGGAAATATGTCAAAATGTCTGCATACAACACTGGTGGTGAAGTGAATCTGACTCTAAAAATGACTCCCTTCAAGTCATAGTCTCAGATGGGCTGATTTTTCTCAGTTACATTGGTGCAAATGAGGAGTAACTCAGTTAAAGTCAGTGGAGTTACACTAATGAAAACCTGTTGTGAGAGGAGAATCAGTCCCAAATTCTCATAACGTGTGTTCTGAAGTGAAGGTTTCTCTTCAGTGAAATCCCATTTATAGTCAGTGTTCCACATAAAGTGCAGGTGTGCTGCTGTGTAAAAGGTCTGATAATTGTAGGTTATTGTAAAGTTGAAGAATAATTGTGACCTAGAAATGCAGCTTTCATTTAAAAAAATTTAAGAGCCTGAAAAAAAAATTACTTCATATAGGACGGTTTCATTTTATTTCAGTTTTACAATTCATAACTTCAGTCTCCTGCCAATCATTCTAGTTTCACACAATCCCCAACATATTTTTGGTTCCCATCCCTCAATATGCACGTGCTGTCTTCCCTTTGGAACATTTTTATTCTCAACTGAACACCCCCCCTCACCCCCTGCCCTTGCCAATGAATTATTCTCAGAATTAGCACACACTGAATGTAGAAACTAGGAAATGGGTATGATCTGTCAGGAAAAAGATATTAAGAATCCTCACCTTGTGGGAACTGATCAAAGAATATTCAGAACCAAAATCAACAGCATCATCACCAGAGTCAAAGGATACACTCCCTTAGCATACTTTAGCACTAAAATGCTCTTTTAGGCTCTCCACCTAATTTTTAGATGATACTTTACTCCAAATGCACAACATATGCAGTTTTTAACCTACTCACCCTTTGGCAGTTGGCTCCAAAATTGTATATTCTTATGGGCACACCTGCTGCATCCATGTCTGAAAATTTGTCCCTAACTGATTAAGCCATTCCTTTTGAATATGGAATTTGGACCATATAGCAGTAACTCTTTCATTGCTCTCCTTCAAATGGAATCTTAATTCTTTTATAATGTATTTATTTCCTGCAGCTGGGTTGTTTAAAAAAGATTTTTTTTCTCTCCAAAACACAGAAAGAAAAAGGTGTGATAAAAGTTGATGACATTAAAGTTCCCTCCCAGAAGCTGGTTTACACTTTGACCATTCCTGAGGCTTCAGTGAAAGATACCGGGGATTATGAATGTACGGCCCGACATGCAACCAAGGAGGTTAAAGAAAATAAGAGAGTAGTCATTACAGTTCATGGTACAGTCTAATTCTAGTGTCCAAAAATTGTTAGCATGCTGGCAAATACCATGTTTGAAATAAAGTGAGTAGCATTATTTATGTGAATCTGTATCATTTACAGATAAAGGATTCATTCATCTGGACCCCCAATTTAGCCCTTTGGAAGCTGTCAATTTACATGAGGTCAAAAATTTTGTAGTGGATGTGCAGGCGTACCCAGCTCCAAAAATGTTCTGGCTAAAGGACAATGTGACTCTGACTGAGAATCTTACAGAGATTGTTACCAGTTCAAACAAGATCAATGAGACAAGGTAAAGAAAGGTTTTGCCAAGGTGACAATCTGAATTTCTCTTCCAGAAACCTTGTGATTTCATTTTATCAAATCTATGACTAGAATTTGTTGAGAAAAATCAAGACATTATATACAACCTCATCTTTCTTGCCTTGCTATAGCCTTTCATCATCACCTCCTCTTTGACATCCTGTCCTCTGTGGACTTCCATGTCACTGTCCCCTCTTGATTCTCTTCCTGCCTTACTTACTGTTCTTTAAATGTCTCCTTTGGGGGCATTGCATTCCCACTCCTCCTCTTTATTGGAGTCTGTCAAGGCTCTTTCTTTTCACCCATCCTCTTCTCCTTTATACCCTATACTTGGGTAGCCTCACTCTCTTACATAATTTTAACTATCATCTCTCTGGTGGCAATTCTCAGATATACTTCTCCTGTTATAGTTCATTCTCATATCTCTCACTGTGTCTCTGATAGCTCAGCTTGGATGGCTTGCAGTCAACTCAAGATTATCAAACCAAACCAAGCTCATATTTTTTCCTTCACACATTGTGCCCTTATTTCATTTTCCATTGCTGTTGACAATGTTATCATTTTCTGTCACCTACAAACGTAACCTGGGCAGCATCTTTGATTCCTTCTTCCTCTTTCCTTCCGCATTCTACTGCTGCTTCCTACACAGCATTCATAGATTCAAAAGCCAGAAAGGACCATTGTGTTCATTTCGTCTGACCTCCTGTATAACACAAGCCATAGAACTTCCCCAAAATAATTCCTAGAGCAGATCTTTTAGAAAAACATCCAATCTTAATTTAAAAATTGTCAGTAACGGCGAATCCACCATGACCCTTGGTAAATTGTCCCAGTGGTTAATTACTCTCATCGTTGAACATTTACACCTTATTTCCAGTCTGAATTTGTCTAGCTTTAATTTCCAACCATTGGATCATGTTATACTTTTCTTTGCTAGATTAAAGAGCCCGCTATTAAATATTTGTTCCACATGTAGATATTTATAGACTATCATAAAGTCACCCCTTAACTTTCTCTTTGTTAAGCTCAATAGATTGAACTCTTTGAGTCTATTACTATAAGGTAATGACTTGCATCTGAAGAAGTGAGGTTCTTACCCACGAAAGCTTATGCTCCCTATACTTCTGTTAGTCTTAAAGGTGCCACAGGACCCTCTGTTACTATAAGGTGTGTTTTCTAATCTTTTAATCATTCTTGAAGCTTTTCTCTGAACCCTCTGCAATTTATCAATGTCCCTCTTGAATTGTTTGTACCAGAACTAGACACTTCATTCCAGCAGCAGCCAAATATATCAAATATATCGTTTTCCATCCTATGAGCTAATTCACTTGTCCAACTTGTGATCATCTGCCACCTTGACTACTGCAACCTTCTCCAACCTTATCACAGTCCGGTCTTCTGGATACTATCCTGGCCCCTCTCCAGTCTTTCCAAAATGCTGCTCCCAAAATAATCTCTTGGTCATCATTTTGATCACATCAATGCCCTTGCTAAATCCCTGTTGGGTATAATAATGCTTGCGTGTTTCTCATACGAGAGAATTAATTAACATTTAAACAGCACTTTGACAGGAAGAGCACTATAGAAATGCAAAGTATCACTACATTATAGTCACCATATACCTACATTAAATATATAGATTTTTTACTAAAAATTGCTTGATTTTTTAAATTATTTGGATTAATTTATTCTTATGTTTTGTAAAATCTCTTGTTTCTATAGGGTCCAGAGTATATTAAAACTGATTCGGGCCAAGGAAGAAGACAGTGGAGATTATACTTTGGTTGCTGAAAATGGAGAAGAGACTAAAAGCTATACTTTCTCATTGCTAATACAAGGTAAGAATATCAAGAACCCTATTGGACTGGGCAGAGGTAGCCGTAGACAGCAAAGACTTAAGTCCATTTAAGCACCAGGTGTCCTGCTAACCTACAGATCTACTAGAATGAAAGGCCTGGAAGCCAGGAATGGTTGTGTTCTAATCCTGACTGTGACTTCTTCAGTGGCCTTGTGCGAGTAGTTTTATCTCCCTGCCTATCCTGAGTTACTCCATCTGCAAAATGGAGAGGACATTTGTTAAGCTACTTCACAAGGGATTGCTTTGAAGACGAAGAGTGCTAAGTGTTATGATTTCAGCAGCAAATTAGTTTGGCTGCTTCCCTGCCATGTCGCTTACTAGCACAATACTAGCTGATTGGCTGGAGCTGGATTGGTGTTTTCCAAGAGTAGTTCCTACCGGTATGTCAATTGTACTGACTGGTCACTCAGGTAAGACCCTTAGGAACAACAGTTCACCTTTTGCCACTCCACACTTATACAGTTTATCATCCTCTGCAGAAGAATCACATTGTGGAAACAATATTTCCAGTATTGCCAGTCCCAAAAGTTCAAAATAATGATTCAGATCCGCCAAAATCATGAGTATACTTGTGGCTTTTTTGGTCTACCTTTTGATTTTTGAACTCGCCCTTCCATGCCAGTGTGTGTGTGACAGTTACAGTGTCGCCAACTCTCCCAAATTTATAAAGTGAGGTGACTTTGGTCCCCTCTGCAGGAGTTCTCACTGGCTGCCTGATGGTGTGGAGCTTCCAGCTTCTCGCCAGACCGCAAAATTCTAACTAATTACATCAGCCCCATATCTGCCCATCCGTCAGCCCAGCAATTAATTACCTCCCAGCCACCACATCAGTTCTGCCCCTTACCCAGCTCCCACATCAATTCTGTCTCCCCCAACCCAACACTTGCTGTTTCCCAAGCCTCACCTGCTCCTTTTACAGCTCCAGAGGTTTTTTTACCCCACCCTCTTCCCCTGTCTAGGCTGGGTGTTGCATGGATGTTGAGGGGAAGGACCAGAGAGTAGCCTGACCCAATTTTCACAAGGAGGGAAGGGAGAAAGGAGCAGAGCCACACTGAGGTGCTGGGTGCTTTCTGCTCCCTCCTCCTGTGAAAATGGATCCGCTGCTCCCTCTCTTCCCTCCCTACCTGAAAAGTCCTCTTGGCTCCTGAGGGGCCAAGCTCCGGCTGCTTCCTGCAGGCACTCCCATGTTACAAATAAGTAATAGTAATAGGGATATTGCTAAATGGCTGAGTTCTGGGAGGTGGGTGAGAGGGGGTGTCCTCTGGTTTTCTCTGTATTTTTCATCTTTACTCTTCCTGTGCTCTCAAATGTGGCTGAGTAGGGAAGGATAAGGCTTTCTCTGCATCCAGTCAGAGACATCCAAATTGCCACCCAGCTGGTGTCTCTCAGGAGCAGTGTGAGGCTCTCATGCTCTCTCTGTGCCCCAGGACCAAGCACACCCCTTCCACAGTGCCCCCTTCTGTGACTGTGCTGTAGCCTGAGCCCCGTTCTCCCCCACAGGATATAAGTAACTTTCATCAAAGTCAATCTGAGTTAGTCATATCCTTCAGGGGAAAATCAGACTCCGGAGAGCAAGCCAAGAGCTTAGGACCCAGACTTGGATTCCCTGAGGAGCAGAGCAATATGCTTTTGCTAGGCTGCTGGTCAGACAAATGACAGCAATTTTAAAGTCTGTCCTGTTCCATTTGTAATTCTAAGCCAAATAAAGTGGGGGGAATTCTAACATGCTCTTTTCAATTCACTTCTAGTTTCAGCTTCAATTCTAAAACTGGTGGATCACCACGGCTCTGGAGGGGGACAGACGGTCCAATGCTTGGCACAAGGGACGCCTTTCCCTGACGTGGAATGGCTGATTTGCAAGGACATTAAAAAGTAAGAAAAACAGATGTGCCTTTATCTCCATATGTGAACGTTTTTTCTTGACCAACATAATTTAAGCTCATGACACACATGCCTTATCAGTCCTCTGGAAACTATGATTCTGGTTTGTCTTGCCAAAGTGACAAGTTGTTTATGCTTCATCAGCATATGGATGGGGTGGGGTTTAATATCATTCCTACTGATTTTGTCCTGTAGAACACATATGCTGTATCTATTTAACAGATTTCTCTAAGATGTGGTACCTAATTAGTGATGAGTGAACCTCAGGGAAGTTTAGATGAGCAAGTCAGATGCTTATCCACATATCTTTTGAGGCTTTCCTGCCATCTCCTCAGCAGACTAACCTATCCCATAACCCTCTCACACTCCCCCATCCACCTTCTTCCTGCAACTGAGCCCACCGCAGATAATAATATTTTTTACATTCAAAGTGCTTTAGAAATGTTAACTAATTAATCCCCTCACATTTGTTGATCTAGTTTCGGGGTCACCCCTTCTCCCCCTCCTCTAGAGACAATCGCACAGAGAGACAACAAGCCTGGTGGGGCCCAGCAGCCCTGGTAACCTCAGATACTTTCTGTTGTCGTTATACAAACATTTCATGCTACTGTATGGGATTTCCCCCTCTCTTCTGTCCCAAAGAGATTTGTGGAGCTTCAGAGGCCAGCCATGAATTCTGGGGTGTAATGAGAAAGCCCCAGAGCAATGCGAAGTTTGGACTAAGCAACAGTGAGCTGCCAGGCCTGCGGGGCTCCATTACTAGCGCTTCAAAGGTGGTAGTGCTGGTAGGGATCAGAAATTCATTGGCTCTAGGAGGAGGGGAGCCAGAGGATTGTTAGGAAGTGGGTACATACTTAAACATCTTTGGTCCTTAAAATAATTCTTGCCAGAGAAAGGGAGTAGGGAAAGGGTGGTTAGGGTGATCCTCATTTTGTTTACACTTGCTCATCCATCCATAAATCTGATGTCTATATTCATGGATATTCTATTTCTTCAGATGCAGTAATGATACCTCGTGGATGCTTCTGACTAACAACATCTCAAATATACACATGGAGGCTCATCGGGTTGATAAGGACCAGGTGAAAAGCCAGGTGACCTTCCAAAAGGTAGAAGAAACCCTGGTAGTACGGTGCATGGCGAGGAACACTCTTGGTGCCGTTACTCGGGAACTGAAGCTTGTGGCTCCTAGTGAGTTAACTTTGTCACTCCTGAGAGATTTAAATAGCCATTTCAAACTCCCCCTCAAATAAACCCAATCAAATCTGGAAATTATTATGCAGTGTGAATGTCTAATAGGTAAAACACCAGATCTTTGAAAGTAAATAATGATGAAAACAGATTTGGCAGCTCTTCCCCAGACATTTGAGCAAGAGCCATTCTCCAGGTCTTAATTCTGAATCCATCTTTCCCATATTATGTGGTTCCATGATCCATCTCTTCATTTTAGTTACTAATGGCCATGGAAGTCTCTTCCAGGCAACCACTGTTGTTCCTGAAATAGGAAGACAGAGTTATTATAGGCAGTGAATGACTTAATGCCCCCTGCCTCTGGAGACTGCACTTTTCACATCTGCAGTGCACAAGAACTTTGATGGCAAAGGAGGTGGGAGTCTTACAGTCACCTACAAATTCGGGCCTCTGTCACATCCCTCTGCATTCAGAAGGCAAATCTAAACTGAGGCCTTTTCTTTTACTACAGCATTGCGATCAGAATTAACTGTGGCTGCAGCAGTCCTAGTGTTAATAGTGATTGTGATTATTTCACTGATTGTCCTGGTCATCATATGGAAACAGGTAACTTAAAATATGTAATTTCTATATTGAATTGAATTAGTGATCTGACCCATTCTTAAATCAGGCATGAGCCTGACAATTTATGTTTCATTTATTGTGTACGGCAGAAACCAAAGTATGAGATAAGATGGAGAGTAATTGAGTCTATCAGCCCTGATGGCCATGAGTACATTTATGTGGACCCAATGCAACTGCCCTATGACTCAAGATGGGAGTTTCCTAGAGATGGATTAGTACTTGGTAAGAACTTTGAGATCCTCTTCTTTTGTAGAGATAAGACATTGATTTAATGCATGTGGGGAATCAGAGCTCTTGACCTGCACTCTTTGAGTGAGCTCTGTGAAGAGCCAAACTGTTGCAGATAAAGTCTGTTTATATAGAAAGAACTTTCTATATTGCTAAATGGAATGATCAGACCATGACAATTCTATGCCATCCAATATTAATAGAATTCTTAACCTGGTACATAAACAAAACCAGAAAAGTCTTGCAAAACATCTAGAAATCAGAATGCCCTGGCAACTATATAAATACCACTGCCCTGTACTGGACAGAAGCTCAGACATGCCCAAGTGTGCTTGATTATGTCACCCTCTAGTGTCTGGACCATAGACCATATAAACCCTAATACTACTAAAGTTAATGGAAATTCTCCTTTAGTGGCATTGGTAGGAGCTTTGGATTTAGGAACAGAAAGTCCAAGGACAACTGTGAATCTCTTTGGCCATGGTTGGCAATATAGCTGATAACTATTATGTTCTGTGCTGCTGCAGAATCTTTACAAAATTATTAACAAACAAACAAACAAACAAACAAACAAACAAACAGATTTTTCATGGAAAATTATTCTGAATACAACAAAAATACATCTATCTACCTACCTATCTTAGCGCCTTGACTTTCCTCCGAAATCCTCTTCTTTCTCCTTTTTCTGTCACATCACCATCCTCCCTGACACCCAGGCTTGAAATCTGGGGCCATGTTTGACTTCTACCTCTCCTTCACCTTTCACATCCAAGCTTATTCCATAATATTTCTGAGATCCAAATTTTTCTCTTTCCAGACAGCAAAGCTCTCTCCTGTCTTGATTACTGTAACCTCTTTGTCTCTGGCCTTCCTTCTCTCCACATGGCTCCCCTCAAGACCCTACAAAACTGTCACTGTCTCTTTCAGTCTTTCCTTTAGCTATCCCTGCTTCACTGCCTCAAGTTCAAGCTCCTTGTCCTTGCCTTCAAGGGTCTGTGGAACTGTCCCTGCCTACTTATCTGCCTGTCTCTCTCCTCACACTACCCATTGACCACTCTTCTCTACCAGAGATGTCTGCCTTGAGCCCCATACTTTAGTGTCTCCTATATCCCTCTTCCACCCTGTTTCCACACTGCTTCACACATAGCGCCTTCCCCAAAAGGTTTGTCAGGCCATTAGCCTCTCCTTCCCTCCCTAAATTCCTGCCTTACGATTCACTTCTGCTGAGATGCCCACAAGAATTGAGTCAGCAATGACATTTTCATTTTATAAGACATTTATAGTTCTATGTGTAGAGACCCAATGTAATCTGGAAGTAGTTATGCAGTTTTATTAAAATATTTTAAAACTATAAATCCATGATGTCAAATGCCATTGTCACATAAACTTCTTTCTGTGAACACTGCTTTTCTTCTTTCCACCCCTGCTTTACTGTTTTGTTGTCTCTTTGTCATGTCTCATGTGGAATTCAATTATAAGCTCTTCAGGGCAAGGCTCTCATACCATTATAGATGACCTGTAAATACCCAGCACAATTCTGGGTAGCGTGATATAATAAATAATTGTCTGTCTGCCTGCCTGCCTGCCTCTTTTTCTCTCTCTCCTATCTATCTATAGCATCTTAAGCATTTCTAACATCCCCATTATGGAGGTATCTATGCACCAAATAATACACAAACAAGTGAAGAAAACCATGAAAGGTATTTTTTTATACACTTTACAAATCATGTTCTATTTCTATTTCCTGTTGTGTGAGTCAATATAATCAAAAGCAGTTCTTGCCAGAGAGAGGATTTCTGTTGACTCTCAAGTGAATGTATCACAAGGAATTTCTGATTCAGAAATAAATTCACTTAATTAAATTTGCTCTGCTAACTGCAGACCAAACCATGGTGGATACTTATGGGAATTATTTGACTACATCCCTGGCTTTAATTATGTGTATAAAACAATTATCGGAATTGGGTTGTTAACAGTCCACCACAGTAATTTTTGTCTCTCTTTGACTCATCAGCATCAGTTTACTTCAATGCATTCTTGTTTATGAGTAAATTCAGGAAGGTTAACTTTAGAAAATGGCACTGCTTGTTCTTACAGCAATCTGGATAGCACAAGTATTTTTCTTGACATGCTGAATATACATTCATCATATATATCTTTCTTATGAGGCAGTTTCATCATATGGGCCATATTCTGCCCTCATTTATGCCAGTGAATCCCTTTGACTTTACTGGTATGATGGGATCTCCCTCCCCCCCCAAATGGAATTTCTGCTATTCTATCAGTTATATAGCAATGCAGTAAGTTACTGAAGATCTTAAAGGTTATCCAAAGCCTTTAGGAAAATTTGGGGATGTGGCTTAACTGGTGTTGTTCCTTTAATGTGTATACTTCCTCTTCTAGCTGTGTAAGCCAGCCAGCATCCTTCTACCTGCTTTATAGGCTTGTGGTATCTGGAGTGCAATACCATGTTAGGTGACCATAGTCTGCTTTGGGTTACTGGAGTTTCAGTTGACTGGAATTCAATAAATTGAGGTCACACTGACAATTTTGCTTTGTTCTTGTTCCCGCAATGTATTACAGTGACAGAGTGTGAGTAGCCCAAGCTGACTCACCACTCCGTGCTCTTTGGAAGCATTTCCACCTGGGGTAAATTGAGGAGGTAATAATTTAAATTCTCAGAGATTAACTATTAGCTGGGTGATTCAGCTCGTCAACTGGAATTTACCCTTAAAAGAGAGAGGCAGGAAGAGCCCAAGGTAGAAGGCTGTGCCTTCAAGCCAAAGAAGCCTAAGATTTCAGAGAGATGAGCGCTCTCCCTTGCCCTGTGCTTTGGTAGTAGATGAAGACTTGGGGAGAAGTTATGTTGTGGGGAACAAACATTTATAGAGCACATTGTAAATAAAGCACTGGGTGTTGAATTTGCCACTGGTGTGTGTGAGGACTGTTTGCAATAAAAATCCAAGGGGAGGGAACCCTGTCCTGTGAAAATAACATATAGTGATGTAGCTTAGATACTATAAACATGATGAATTAGGACTACCTGAGAGAGAGAAATTATATTGCAATGATCTGATCAATGTGTTTGAACACCACTACCCTCTGCTGGATATAATCAGAACTGCCCTGCTATATGTCATAGGCCTTCCACTGCTAATAGCTAACTGACATTCTTCTTTCCCTGAAGTGGTAGGGAATAGTGTTTTTGAGTACCAGGATTTGAGTTCTATCCCTGCTGTTGCTGTGGATTTCTGAATGGCCAGTGTGTGACATAGTGACACCCATGATCTCCTAGATGGCCACTGATTTGCCACAATAGTTTTATTAAAAATCCAGTGCTACTCTGACTGCTGAAGCCAGACAGACACATTATTAATGGATTTGCTCTCATTCCCAGACTACCAACAAGATTTAAAAATAGGGCTGTCAAGCGATTAAAAAAATTAATCGTGCTCTTAATAGAATGCCATTTATTTAAATATTTTTGGATGTTTTCCTACATTTTAAAATATATTAATTTCAATTACAACACAGAATACAAGTGCATAGTGCTCATTTTATATTTATTTTTGATTACAAATATTTGCACTCTAAAAAACAAAAGAAATAGTATTTTTCAATTCATCTAATACAAGTACTGTAGTGCAATCTCTTTATCATGCAAGTTGAACTTACAAATGTAGAATCATGTACAAAAAAAAACTACACTCAAAATTAAAACAATGTAAAACTTTAGAGCCTACAAGTCCACTCAGTCCTACTTCTTGTTCAGCCAATCGCTCAGACAAACAAGGCTGCCTGATAATGCTGCCTGCTTCTTGTTTACATTGTCACCTGAAAGAGAGAACAGGCGTTCATTGTTGTAGCTGGTATCACAAGATATTTATGTGCCAGATGCACTAAAGATTCATGTGACCCTTCATGCTTCAACCACCATTCCAGTGGACATGTGTCCATGCTGATGATGGGTTCTGCTCGATAACAATCCAAAGCAGTGCGGACCGACACATGTTCATTTTCATCATCTGAGTCAGATGCCACCAGTAGAAGGTTGATTTTTTTTTGTAGTTCGGGTTCTGTAGTTTCTGCATTGGAGGTGTTGCTCTTTTAAGACTTCTGAAAGCATGTTCCACACCTTGTCCCTCTCAGATTTTGGAAGGCACCTCAGATTCTTAAACCTTGGGTCAAGTGCTGTAGCTATTTTTAGAAACCTGACATTGGTACCTTCTTTGCGTTTTGTCAAATCTGCAGTGAAAGTGTTCTTGAAACGAATAACATGTGCTGGGTCATCATCTGAGACTGCTAAATCATGAAATATATGGCAGAATGAGGGTAAAGCAGAGCAGGAGACATACCATTCTCCCGAAGGAGTACAGTCACAAATTTCATTAATGCATGATGTTTTTTTTAACGAGTGTCATCAGCATGGAAGTGTCCTCTGGAAAGGTGGTTGAAGCATGAAGGGGCATACGAATGTTTAGCATATCTGGCACGTAAATACCATGCAATGACTGCTACAGAAGTGCCATGTGAACGTCTGTTCTCACTTTCAGGTGACATTATAAAAAAGCGGGCAGCATTATCTCCAGGAAATGTAAACAAACTTGTTTGTCTTAGTGATTGACTGAACAAGAAGTAGGACTGAGTGGACTTGTAGGCTCTAAAGTGTTACAGTGTTTTGTTTTTGAGTGCAGTTATGTAACAAAAAAATCTACATTTGTAAGTTGCACTTTCATGATAAAGAGATTGCACTACAGTACTTGTATGAGGTGAATTGAAAAATGCAATTTCTTTTGTTCATCACTTTTACAGTGCAAATATTTTGAATAAGAAATAATATAAAGTGAGCACTGTACACTATATTCTGTGTTGTAATTGAAATCAATATATTTGAAAATGTAGAAAAATATCCAAAAATATTTAATAAATTTCAGTTGGTATTCTATTGTTTAAAGTGCGATTAAAACTGCAATTAATTGCGATTAATTTTTAATCGCAATTAATTTTTTTGAGTTAATCACGTGAGTTAACTGTGATTAATTGACAGCCCTATTTAAAAACCAACCTAATATCTCAATTATGTAGCTGCTTCATGCACAAAACTCCATTGAAATCAATGACCCTAAATAGCTCAAAAGACTGGATATGGCTTACAGAGTCTATCACTTATTAGGCACTATCACAGACTAGCATCTCATGCCAGTGACTGTGTTACCATTTGGAGGTTGGATTTGAAATGAATTAATTGTCACAATCCAGACTGAAGTGAATAGTCTCCATTTCACAGGTCTACGTCTGGAGCAGCTCTGCTGAGTTCAGTAACTTACCAGATTTATACTTGTGCCCCTGAGAGCAGAAATTGGCCTAGAATTGCCAAAAAATGGCCCCTCTCTTCAGCAATCTCACCAGAGAAGCGGAGGAGCGAATGGGGATCGAGGCTGAACTGAGGCATTTTCTCATCCATGGATATGGCCCTCTCTTTCAGTATGAAGAAGCTTGTTATCCCTGCTGTCTGTCTATGTAGAGAAATAGAAGAATTCACTCTCTAGGGCTGTTCCTCTGGCACCTTTATAATAAAAATAAAAGAAAATGTATAGTCTAATGAGGGGCTGCCAGTCAATGTCTCTGTACCAATAGCATAAGGAGCTCTGTGGCAGATGCAACATCTAGCTCTAAGCAGTTAATTCCCACTTGATATCAAAATGCAAGTGTAAAAGACATAGGGGGCAGGACTTTAAAAAATATGTGAAGAGGGGGTGAAAAGGGGAAGTAATGAGTCCCTGACATTCAGGAAGTGCTCCCACCATTCTCCACAAACCCCCAGATTTAGCTGAGATGTCAATGAGGGGGAAGCACTTCTCATGCTCACTTTACGATACGATTGTGGGCGGAATTGGAGAGTGCAGATGACAAGATGAAACCACATCAGCAACATGTTTTAAGGGGCTGCATCCTGCCATGTGGTTCACAGATCTGCAATCTGAAAATGTTCCATGGCTAAATTACACACTCAGGATGGTGGAAATTTTGTAGGAAGGTTCTCACATCCTAACTGGTAAGGGAACCTATTGGTGCACAAGAAGCTGAGAGAAAAAAATTCTCATATTGTTTTGTAACCAAGTTGTGAGAGACCTTAGGAAGGAATATAGTTAGGCCAGCACTGACCAGTTTTGAAAATCCCATCTTTCCTGTCTATCTTGGTGATACATGCATTTTTTTTGGCTGGAATTTTCATATAGGAGTTGGTCTATTAATTATAGATAGGCCATGTACTGTGTATTATGGTTAAGATAAACAGTAGCTTCTCCAGAAGCATCATCTCCAGAAGCGCAGGAGAGGGCAGGTGCAATATAGGGTAGATATGTATAGATCGCATGAACATTAAAAGTTGCAATATTGTATTTCCTGACAAGAACGGAAACCGGATGACCTTTTATTTGTACTGGTAGTAAAAAAAAAAACGTTCATCAGGAATGTGATCACATACTGACATCTGGAATTTATGAAATACATGGAATGTACTAATTTGGGTGTATTTTTTGCATATTGCATATTTCATTGAAAGTCTGCCTCAAGCCTTCATATCAGTTCCATACACAATTCTTCCCCATACTGAATCCACAACAGAAGACAGAATGTGCTAATCAACAATTTTTGTCTGAACTGATCTGTGGGCAGAATAAAGTGGGTTAAACATGGGATGTGTTAATACAGCACTTGGAAACTGCCACAAAATCTATTCCTGCATATGAAACACATTTGTATATTAAACTTCAGAGGACTTTTCCCTCAGGTGTAATCAACATGTATTTTAACTTCTCTCAGATTGTTGCTAGTCCCTGCTTTTGTATTCTTAAACTAAGCTGGTACCACCATCAAAGCTATCGTATTGTTAGTGTGGACATAAGGGTCTAAGGCACTCTGCTGGATTATCCTTTAGATTGATAGTTCTGTATGACATGGTATCTAATGACAGTAATGGCATCAAACTAGTGATGGAGAGTCAAATTCAGTCCTGGGGTAAGCAGGCACAACTCAACTGAAGTCAGTTACACCACAGCAGAATCTGGAACAGAGAATTTAGATTAGACATTAGGAAATCAGTGTTCTATAGTTAAAAGTGTTCAGACAAAGGATTAGGGTAGTGGACAACCCTGAATGAAACGGAGTCTCAGTGATGTCACCTCCTGCCCTACTAGCTGATTAATAATGTGCTTTTGTCCTCTTGTTTACTTGTCTTTCTTTAGGAATATTATTTAATTCAAGCAATTCTTTTTCATTTCTTGTCCTCTTCTGCTTAACTGATTTTTTTATTGGTGATAGGAGTAGACAGTAATAATAATAAATAGTTTTGGATGAACAAGTATGCTCATTCTGCATAAATAGGAACACATACCAGCAGCATTACATAAAGAGCAATGGCAGCAGAAACTGAGATAAGCTATCAGCAACTGTTCATTGAATAACAAACTCTATTGTCTGCAGGTCGAATCCTTGGTTCAGGCGCGTTTGGGAAAGTAGTTGAAGGAACTGCGTATGGATTAAGTCGCTCTCAACCAGTGATGAAGGTAGCTGTGAAAATGCTGAAACGTAAGTGATCCTCATGGTGTCAGTGTCCAAGCTAGCTGGTTCAAGCTGATGCAGGATTATTAGCATTGTCTTAATTTCTCCCTACATATTAGAAGGTTATATCTTAATTGCATTGGCTTAGACATCATGATAACTCAGAAAGTTTGGAAAAGGATAAATAATCATAACCTTTTTGAACAGATTAAAATGATACCATGGTGCAACTAAGTAGAATCAGTCAGGTTCTCAGCTAGTGTAGATCACTTGAGTTCCACTGAAACTAAATCAGCTTATGCTAGCTGAGGAGCTGACCCAATGACTTTAAAAGAAATTTAAAATTAACGTCTACAGCATAAACGTGGTAATGGTCATCCTTCACACAGGAAAGAGCTACATTAGTGGTAAAAAGCTCAATAAACTTTTGGAATCTAATATCTCTATTTTTGTAAGTATTGCTCATAGTGGTGCTCTGACATGAGCACAGTGATCTGGTGGTTAGCACTTGCATATATAAATCTTACAAGCCAGATTGATTGGTGCAAGATTGGAGGGATTGGACAAAAGGATTGTGGGCCCCTGATTTTAGGGCTGTCTGGCTGCCAATCTGAACCTGCATAAAATAGACTTGCCGCAGGACTGCCCTACTTTGTTCCAGCTGCCCAATGCCTCTAAGGGCTATTCCAGCCAGTGGGTGCGGTCAGGGAGTAGGGATGCTCAGTAGGGAGCTTCTAAAGAGGCTCTGTCAGTGCTTCATTTGTGTCAGGGCTTGCCAGGACTGAGCCCCAGCATCTCTGGGCTTGGTAGTCCATAGCCCCGGCACCTCTGGGCTTGCCATGTCAGTTATGAAAGTAAAAAAAACATTATTGAGCCCCAGCTCCTAATTGCTTGAGCCTGGCACCTCTTTCATTACAAATTAAGCACTGGTCTCTGTGCCACTTGGAGGTTTGCCCACCCATGGATGAATCCCCAAAGGGTTAGCTAACCTGGGATTATGACTGCTTTGTACCACAAAGAAGGGCAAATAGATTGGGCCCACTAGTGAACTGAGTCTTTATTAGTGACTAGTAATTCTCATTAGACTTTCAGAAATGCTATCACCAGATAAAGTGCAAAGGCTTCCTTAAGAGGCCTCTGTGTAAATGTTTAAACCAACCAAGCAATATATCATATTCAATATTTGTATTAACTGAACGATATTAACATTTTCAAGAACAAGGATCATTGACTGTTAACTGAACTATTTATTTTTCTGACAGCCACAGCTAGATCCAGTGAAAAACAGGCACTAATGTCTGAACTGAAGATAATGACACATCTTGGGCCTCATTTGAACATTGTGAATCTCTTAGGAGCTTGTACTAAATCAGGTAGGTTTGTCTAACACAAAATCAATGTTTGCCAAGCAACTAAAATCGAGCCTGTAACCACCCCAAATTAGAGCGTTCCAAGCAACTAAAATTTAGTATTTAACATAGTCTATATGTTGAGCAAGTGCTTTTTAAAATAAATGTGAGTAAATGGATGCCTGATAAAACTGCCTATACATGCTAGTAGTTATACTCCCAGTTCAACATACTGGCATGCATAATCCTTAACACTCGGTCCCCTGTATATTTGGTTTTCCATTATCTTTTCAGTGATATATATATTTTTATCATCAAGGTATTATTTTGCCTTCTTTCATTAGGTCCAATTTACATCATTACTGAATACTGCTTTTATGGGGATTTGGTAAACTACCTGCATAAAAACAGGGATAATTTCCTGAGCCGACATCCAGAAAAGCCAAAGAAGGACTTGGACATTTTTGGGATGAACCCAGCTGATGAAAGCACAAGAAGGTGGGAAAGGACAAAAAGGATTATAGTTTGCCAATTAAGGGCATGATGTTACAATGAAAATCTTCATTTAGGCAAATAGCCCCATTGGCTTCACTATATGGGTTTTCTTGGCAGGACTGGGCCCTATGAAAATTGTCTGAATGAATGGTATACTTTGATCAACTGTAATATTTAAAATAAATGCCACAGGAAGTAATATTAGCTGAGTTCCTGCAACTCCCATTGAGTTCAGTGGGATGTGTGAGTGCTCAGCATTTGAGGAAATCAGGTAACTTATATTTAGACTCCTATATCCATATTCAGACACCTAATTTTGGCACTCAGCTTTGAAAATGTTGGGCATGGTTTTTATTTATTACCATGAGAAGTAATTTTTTATACTTCTGTACATCAGAGTGACATGAACTACATCACAATGAATTATGACCCAGACGCAGAACCATGAAGATGCCATGTGAAATATGAACCAAATCACTGGGCAATATTGTCTTTGTTTATTATTTCAGTTATGTCATTTTATCCTTTGAAAACAATGGCGAATACATGGACATGAAACAAGCTGATACGACTCAGTATGTGCCAATGCTGGAACGGAAGGAGGGTTCTAAGTATTCGGATATCCAGAGATCAATGTATGATCGGCCTGCTTCATATAAGAAAAAATCTGTGTCAGGTAACTGCATTCATTGTTGTTAAAAACCATTCTTTCAGAAATGCATGTGTTACTTCTGCCCTCCAGTGGAAGGAATTAGAACTACTCCAATATCTGTGGCAAGCCTCCTACAGCTTACCAGGGAGAAAGATTCTCCTTTAGCTCAAGTGATAGGCACCTATGCTTGTGGAGCAAGAAGAATGGAGTTTTATCTTTGCTGCTTCTGCTGTGAAGTTCTCAGCAGCCAGGGTGTATAGCATGTATAGCATGCTACACCATGTATAGCATGGTGACACTCAGGGCAGGTCTACACTACAGCCAGGATGGACGCTGTGAGATCAATCCACCGGTGGTCGATTTAGCGGTTCTAGTGAAGACCCTCCAAATCGACAGCAGTTCGCTCTCCAGTTGACCCCTGTACTCTACCCCGACAAGAAGAGTAAGGGAAGTTGACGGGAGAGTTTCTCCTGTCAACGCCCCACGGTAACTCGACCTAAGATACGTTCATAAAATATTAGGGTTGGAAGAGACCTCAGGAGGTCATCTAGTCCAACCCCCTGCTCAAGGCAGGACAAACACCAACTAAATCATCCCAGCCAGGGCTTTGTAAAGCCGGGCCTTATTGACGTAGCTGGAGTTGCATACTGTAGGTCGACTTACCACGGTAGTGTAGACATAGCCTCAGAGTCTTAAGTGGCAAAGGTATTGTTACTTTTGTATGTTTTGCAAGATTCTGAGCAATGTGACAGTAATAATTAATAATAATTAATAATTTTTCTTTCTCTGTTTCCACTTTCACTGACCGACACTTATGAAAACGAAAAAAATTCCAGATGCTTTTCTGGATTATGTAACGATGGTGATGAAGGGCAACGCATCCCATTCCTTCCCCCTTTTCTCAGAAACTCAAAGCATTGCTTCCAAAAGAGGCTTGCTCACTTCTGGCTGTAGGCCTGAGGTCCTGAATCATTTGCAGACCCAGAGTTAGTTGGCAGACGAGTGCACTGCTGCTTTGCTCAGGGCCACCAGGGGTAAATGAATAGCCCAGTCTGCTCTTTGCTGTCATTATTTTTTAGTATTAAAAAAAGAATGATTGCCATAGAATTCCTGATCCTTCAGTGACAGTACTGGACATGTCCTAATGCATACTTGCTGAGAAACATAACAGTGCTCAGCAAAACTGAAATGGTCAAAAATGTACAAAAGTTTTAATGGCGTTACCATCTCTAAACCAATGTCTTGTTTCTAACCACATGTCGAATAGTAAGAACAACCCACATAATGTAGGTGGCCCTTTCTAACTTAGCTTTCTACAATCCCCTGTAAAAAAAAAAAAAAGTCTATATACAGAAGACAAACAAAAACTATATTTAGTATTGGATATTTTTTTCTTTTTTTAAGGAATGCAGTCTGTATTAGTGATTGATGCAAACATGCAAAGGGATTATTTATTCTGAAAAGATGGTTTTGGGCCATGATCCTCTGCTAAAGTCATCACCTCGGAAGCATAGAAGGTAGAAAGAACTAGGCACTGGTTTCATGACCTGAATACACTTTTATAACACAAACATATTTTCCCTCCGCCTTTTTCAACAGAACCAGAAGTCAAAAATCTGCTTTCTGACGACAATTCTGACAGCCTCAGTTTGCTGGATTTACTAAGCTTCATGTACCAAGTTGCACGGGGGATGGAGTTCTTGGCTTCTAAAAATGTGAGTGCCATGAGGAACTAAACAGAAATGGCCTAGTCTTTTTTGGATTTAAAAACCACAACATGAAAGAATGTCCTTTTAGGGGTCTAAGCACCCTCTCCATTAACTAGAAACACAAGACAAAAGTGATTACAAAACCAAAGCAGCAGCATTTTTCTTCCCCTACACCATGTCAGCCACCAGTCAGAATATCGTCTGCAAAGCAGAGCTTTCTCACACCACGCTGTCCCAGCTGACAAGACCCACCCACTCCCACAACTGCCCTTCTTGAATGCTGGCTCAATAGGTGGTCCAATTTTAACTGTGCCTGCAAGGTCAACACATTTTGGGTTTTTTCAGGGAGGCGATAGTGCATTCCAAAGGAAATGGGCCTTCGTGGGAATTGGTATCTCTTTAAATGACTTATGATCTCTCCATGCAGTGTGTGCACCGTGACTTGGCAGCTCGTAATGTCCTTCTGGCTCAAGGAAAAATTGTGAAGATCTGTGACTTTGGTCTGGCTAGGGACATCATGCATGATTCCAACTATGTCTCCAAAGGCAGCGTATGTACTTGCTTAATCTTTTTATTTCAGTATTTAATTGAGATGATAAGTGTCAGTATAATACTGTCGTTAAGGTTCTTCTGGTCAGTGTTTGGTTACACTAATGGACAGTTGGATGAAAACAAGAGAAACAATTTTTTTTTCAATTAATTCACATGACTTCACAAAGTCTGTTTGAAAGATGAAAAGTCCTTGGCCAGAACTAGTATTTTTCAGGGTGAGATTTTAACTGGCAAGTTTTGTGACTGGATGAATTACTAAAGGAATATCATTGTGATGTAGCATAACATAGCAGTCAATAACACATTTGCATAAGCATATCACCGGTGTACCTCCCATATCCTGTCCACAAATCAGCTGAGTCACTTGCTAATAATTTAGCAATTCAGGTATTCCTGGATTCGTTATTTTGAGGAGTAAGTAGAAGCTTTGCTCATAATCCTGTAACCTCTTCATATTTCCTTGAATAAAAAATATTACTAACTACTTTATCAAATGTGCATTTATTAAGGCAAACCTTCTTCCTACTGTCAAATGATACATCTGCTGTACTGAGCAGGATTTCTGTAATGATTGATATGTTTATTTTGTTGCAGACTTTTCTCCCAGTGAAATGGATGGCACCTGAAAGCATTTTTGACAATCTGTACACAACATTAAGTGATGTCTGGTCTTATGGCATTCTGCTGTGGGAGATATTTTCTCTTGGTATGTACTATGAGCACTTCTTTACATGCAGTACTTAAGCTGGTTGAGTTCATGGTACATTAAAATAAGAACTGTAAATATTATTGTGACAACAAACTACAGGGGTGAATTGTGTAAGGTGCTATGCAGACATGAAGTAAAAAGAAAGTCCCTGTCCCAAAGAACTGACAATACTGGTTTATGACAAGGTGGGCAGGTTGAAGGCTGGTGCTGTTGATTGCTGCTGACTTTTGAGTTGGCTGCTAGTGAGCTGAAAGCCATCCTCGTCTCATTTACTTCCATTTACTGGACCAACGGAGAAGGGCAGACTGCATGCTGGGCTCTGGGAAACTTTCCTAGGCTGAGGGAGGCTCAAAGCAAACATGCTCTGGGCAGCAGGGCTACTAGAGCTGGCTGTTTGCACTGGCAGTTCCAAGCAGCAGAAGCCATTAGGTGGGGCAGCGTAGCACAAAGCACAGCTGCCCCAGGCATTCCAGTGACTCCCTTCCGGTTTGGTAGGAAGAGACTGGATGAGGTGAGTCTGCCTGAGATTACAATGATGAGAGCAGATTATAACTGTGTAATCCCTATTAAACAGCCCCAGGCTCACCACATGACAATATCCCTTAAAATGAGCAGAGACTGTTAAGCTATAGAATGGCTTGTCACATAAATACTTCTTAAAACAGCAACAGATGCACATCTATCAACTGTGTTTATACAGTCCCAGCACCTTAGTACCTGAGCTTCTCACAATCTTTTAAAATTTCCCAGCACTGCTGTGAGGTAGGAATGTATTATAACCTCCATTTTGCAGATGGGCAACTGAGGCCCTGATCCTCAAATGTATTTAGGTGCCTAAATTCTTTTTAAATCAGTGGGAGCTAGGGCCCTAAATACCTTTGATCTGGGCCAGGGAGACTAATGCTATGTCTACACTGCACTGCAATGTACCAAAGTGCTTCACTGTAAGCCCCCTACAGGAATGCTGCAGGTGCAAATTAAAAGGTTCCTAGGTTGCATTAATGTAATCCTGCAGCGGAGGGCCTAAGACACATAGTGGGGCAGTTCTGAGGATAGTGGTGTTCAAACACAATCAGATCATTGCAGTATAATTTCTCTCTCAGGTAGTCCTAACTCATCCATATCTATAGTATCCAAGCACCATCACTATATGTGCTTACATTAATTATTCATACGAAATAGGAACTTTTTAGTTTGCACCTGCAGCATCCACACATGGGAGTTACAGTGCAGCACTTTGGTGTGCAGTGCTACTCACACCCCCATAGTCTGAACTGTGTGGCAGTGTAGAGAAGCCCTAAGAGACTTGCCGAAAGTCACTCAGAAAGTCTGTGGCAGAACAGGGAAGTGAACCTGGGCCACCCAACCCCAGGCTAGTACCTGGACCACTGCACTGTCTTTCTTTTCTCTCTTCTAGCATAATAAGCTTCACAAATATTGCAGATTGATTTTTCTGTAAGTAGGGCCTGTTACAATTGTTCCTAAAAGACATTTCACATAAAACTGTTGACCATATTAAGCTCTCTTTCTGCAGGACAGTAATGTGAGCTCTGGCATGTGTATTTATTTATTTGTATTACAGAAGCCCCTAGGAACCTCAGTCATGGCCCCCTTTGTGCTAGGTGCTGTACAAACACAGAGCATTAAAGTCATGCTATGGTTCTATGGAAGAACAGGTTCCAAAGAGGTACATTAGAACCTCAACAACTCACGCTAGTCCTAAGGAGAGCCATTGTGAATAACTGAATTTTGTAAAGGGCCAGTTTCTGCCAGACTAACACACGTGGAGTGGTTTCTATTGAGTGCTGAGCTGTTGACTGGCCCATCGATTCCAATGGGACTCCACCTGGAGTAATGTGCTGTTCAATGTCAGTAAAAGTGGCAGAATATTGCCCAAAGTGAACAAATGAAATAAAAATAATCAAGGATAATGCATCATGAAACGTACTTTGTTCATTCATTTTGTCAACTGTAGTTTGGCTTTAATTCTGATAACATTTCATAATACAGCCCCTTTTGGGCCTGAGCGGTAAACCAATATTCAGGGCCAACACCCACTTGATATTGATAACTTCTAGCATAACAACACTAATCCAATTTTTTTCACAGGTAGAGCTTTCGCCCAGCATATACAATTACAATAAAAAACATATAAAACATCCGCTGACAAGTAAAAGCCAATAAAAAAAATAGATATTGTACTAGTAAATATACTGTAGCATATGCTGTATAAATAACAAAACCTTCCCAGTACGTTAACATATGTTTTTACAGCACCTGGCAAAATGGAACTCTAATCTCAGTTGGGGCCTTGGGGCATTACAAGCAATCAATAATCACAGTAATAATGAAACCTCACTACAGTGTCCTGCTATTACATCTCTGTTGAGAGATGGAGAGACAGCAGAGATTATGGATTATTTTTTATTTAATTTTCAGATTTAGAGCATCAATCCCTAACTCCTGACATATCACAAGATTTAAAAAGAACAACATCCAGTACAGAAATCCAGTACATTGATTAAAGAGACTTAGAAAAGCCAGCTTAACTCCCCCCCGAAATCTAGCTCACACTCTTAGCGCTTTCCAAAATTTCAGATAGCATCTAATGCAGAAAATATTAACTAGACACATGAATTGAGCATCATCCTAAACCCCGACTCCAATCTCCATTTGCCGGTCGCTGCGAGGGCAGCAGTCAGGCTGTCTTTGGCAGCATGCCTGCGGGAGGTCCCCCGGTCCCATGGTTTCGGCGGCAATTCGGCGGCGGGGACTCCGAAGGCGCGGCCTGTGGACCTCCCGCAGGCATGCCGCCGAATCTGCATGTCCAGCGGACCGCCCGCAGGCGCGTTGCTGAAAGCCGTGCTCGGGGTGACAAAAAACATAGAGACGCCCCTGAGCTCATCAAATACCCAGCAGAAGAGATTTGTGGTTTAATGAGGGCCTGCTGGGTGTTTGGTTTTTCATATATTTAGTTGTGGTTTATTATAACATTGGAAGTATTCAAACAATGTAAAAGAGCCACTTTTGTTGCCTTTTTACCATTAAGGTGGCACACCATACCCTGGCATGATGGTTGATTCTTCTTTCTACAACAAGATAAAAAGTGGCTACCGAATGGCAAAACCTGACCATGCTACCAGTGAAGTGTACGTATGCTCTTTTTTGTTTCTCCTATACCAAAATCTACCTCCAGTTGATTTTGTTTTTGTCTCTCTGGCTGTTGATTTTCAACTTCCAGCTGATGAAACTGGTTTCTGTCTTATTTGCAGGTATGAGATTATGGTGAAATGTTGGAACAGCGAACCGGAGAAAAGACCTTCTTTTTACCATTTGAGTGAAATTGTGGAGAATCTGTTGCCTGGCGAATACAAGAAGGTTTGTTCTCTGGAATTTCCATTGCATTTTGTATCTGTTCCCAGAGGGGTTGTAACTCAGCTGCTCAGATCATCTGTGCAGTAAGCATGTCATTAAGCCATGTGAATGAAATGCTTCAGATATGCTGTTGCAGTGTATAAGAGACTATAAGGTTATAAAACTAAGGTTGCTGGTGGGAACCAATTTTTTTTTTTTTTAAATTATAGAATATCAGGGTTGGAAGGGACCTCAGGAGGTCATCTAGTCCAACCCCCTGCTCAAAGCAGGACCAATCCCCAGACAGATATTTACCTCAGTACCCTAAATGGGCCCCTCAAGGATTGAGCTCACAACCCTGGGTTTAGCAGGCCAATGCTCAAACCCCTGAGCTATCCCCCCGCTGTACATAAGGGACAGCACTTTCCATTTTCTGTAGGCCCATTATCATCTTAATCCTTCTGTTAATCATAGAGCTGGTCCTACATATTTGCATAGGCTTTTTTCAGAAAATGTAAAAATCCTAAGAAAGGCACCAATTCCCCTGTGTGTATAATCTCCCCCAGCCTCCATCAACCCCTTCCCTCCAGCTTGAACCCTGATGCCCAGGCACTAATGACCCCTCTTCACACACACACACACACACACACACACACACTCCTATCACTCACTCCTGCTTCCATGCACCCATCATTTATTAGTGGGTTCCCCCACATGTACATACTCCTGCTTCCCCCCCAGCCCTCACTCACTCTTGCCCCTCCATTCGCTTCTGCTGTTTACCCTCACTCCTGTGCCTCTGCTCCTCACTTCTTCTACCCATTCATTTTTCACTACTGGGCCTCTTGCCCCACAACATTCATCCCTTATTGCTGGGCCTCTACCACCCCATACATCATCCATGCTTCTCTGTATACCTCCCGGCCCCTCATTCCTGGGCCCCTGCAAACTCACGGATGGCTGAGTCCCTATTCTTCCTCTTCACAGACCTCTTCATTATTTCTGCCCCTCCTCAACACACACAAATGCCATCTTTGGCCCCATTTGCATACAACCACACTTCCTGGGCCCCACCCAATAACGTGCCATCGCAGGTAATTAGTATCAATGGTCGATGCGGGTCTGGCTGGAGAATCTTGCCCGCATGCTCGGGGTTCTGCTGATCACCATATTTGGGGTCGGGAAGGAATTTTCCTCCAGGGTAGATTGGCAAAGGCCCTGGAGGTTTTTCGCCTTCCTCCGCAGCATGGGGCAGGGGTCGCTGGCTGGAGGATTCTCTGTGACTTGAAGTCTTCAAATCATGATTTGGGGACTTCAACAGCTGAGTCAAGGGAGAGAATTATTCCAGGAGTGGGTGGGTCAGCTTTTGTGGCCTGCATCATGCGGGAGGTCAGACTAGATGATCATATTGGTCCCTTCTGACCTTAAAGTCTATGAGTCTATGAGTAAGAGAGGAGAGGAATTCATCGTCTCGCCTTCAGGAATATTCTCTCATTCCTTCCTTGGAGAAGGTGCCAGATCTGGTCAGTAGACTCAGGGGAAGGGTAGCTGCCAGGAGCCAGAGGAATTTACTCCTGCTCCCTGCCCAGGGGAGGGGAGGGAACCCATGGGGATCTTCATTGTCACTCCTCATTAGCTTAGAGGAAGGAGAGCAAGTGGAAGAGCTCTGCACACAGAAAATAGAAGGGAGAGAGATCATGCAGTGTCAGTACTCCCTGATCCCCACTGAACCCCAGCACTAATATTGGTAACCAGTCTCATGGCATACATGCACCACTGAATAATTAAACTAACAACTCCCTGTTTGGATCCAGAGTTGCATCTGAAAGATGCCATCACTTGCCTGCAGAGATGTTAGTGCACCAAGGTGTGCACATAGAGGTGTACAAGCACTATTTTAAAATGAAACCCACCCAACCATCTTTTAAATATTAGTACCTATGTGTATTATCAGGCCAGAGGCACTTTTCCAAAGAAGCCTTGTAAAACACCTCGAATAAGCCTGCACAGCTCAGCTCAGGGCAATAGAGCCACACCAGCTCACATCAAGACAGAGTGCCTACTGGTTTGGTTTAGTTACGCAGCACAGCTAGTTGCAGCAGGTTGCTGAGGAGCGGACACCTTCTTGTACAGCATCAAAGATCATTTTAAAATTAATCTTTTCAGAGCTATGAAAGGATTCATCTGGACTTCCTGAAAAGCGACCACCCAGCGGTCACACGCATGAGAGTGGACTGTGACAACACCTACATCGGTGTCACTTACAAGAATGAAGACAAGCTAAAGGACAGGGAGAGTGGATTTGATGAGCAGAGGTTGAGCGCTGACAGTGGCTACATCATCCCCCTGCCCGACATTGATCCCGTCTCCGAAGATGAACTTGGCAAAAGGAACAGGCACAGGTAGTTGCTGCTTACAGTACATTATGGGCCAGATTCTGCCATCCTCACTTACCCTTCTATAGCTCCTTAGTCTGGTCCAGATTCTGATACTCTTACTCTTCTTGAGAAGCACCTTACTAGAAAGCTAGCCCACTGACTTCAGTGGGGCTACTTGTAGAGTTAGGTACTATTCATTATGAGTCAGGGTATAGAGTGCAGCTCTCTGTGACTAGCCCCAGTGATTTCAATGGGGCAGTCCATGGAGCCCAGTACTCATTAAGGCCTGGGACCGCCTACACAAGAGACCTCCTCTTTTCTTGTACTGTACTGCCATAGAGAAGAAGGGATCTGGCAGGATGTTACCCCTGAGGCCCCTCACCTTTGGAATTAACTTTCCAGCTTGCTCCAACGTAACAAAATTGACTGGCCTTTGTTTTTCCGAGAATGAGCGAGTTGGAACAGGGTTTGAGGTATGTGAGGGATTGATTTATTTTATTTCAGAACTGCTGGTTCTTGTAATGGGGTTAGGCTATTTCAGAGGGGTTTTTTGTGATTTTTAATTGGTGACAGAGCCTTGGATGGGATTCTTATCAATGGATTCTTATCAATATAAATAGATACATAAATAAAATACCTAGTGTGAATGAGGGTAGCTGAATCTAGCACAATGTGGCTAGCAGTGTTTTCAGCTACATTCATTTTATACTCTGTTTATTATAAGTTAAAATCCTAGGAGACAAGTTTTTGTATCTTTAGACTATTATCAAGAGAAACTAGAATGAGGTCATTTTTAACCATGGGGCAGGAGTTTCCAGGCCTGATCTAAGCACCTATGGTCTCTGTTGTACCATCTTTTCCTTAAGCTTCTCATTCCCTCTCTTTCCCAGATTTTTCTAATTAGCCATTTGCCATAGCAGTATCCGATATTGGTTGGTGGGGTCTTCTTTCAAGTCTAATGTTTCACTCATGAATACTGTATGGATGAGTTGGCAGGAGGCATTCTCAGAAAAGTGTGGTCAACTTGCTCTCTTGAATTCCAAAATTATTCATTACCCTCTGGTGACTTCCTCATACCAGATGTCAATCACTCTAAGAAAAAGGTAGTTAGAGATCACCTAAGATAACCCAAGGTGCCAGAAGGTCGGTGCATAGATCCACTTCCATGTCAATGGTTCAACTGTAGAAATTCAAATATCATGTTTATTTCACTATGTATTATAGCTCCTAGTTTCTTTGCCTCTTACAGTTCCCAGACATCTGAAGAAAGTGCCATTGAGACTGGTTCAAGCAGCTCTACCTTTATCAAGCGAGAGGATGAGACCATTGAGGACATTGACATGATGGATGACATTGGAATAGATTCCTCAGACCTGGTTGAAGACAGCTTCCTGTAATTCACATGGAATTAATGGACATCTTTGAACTATGTCACAAGAGAAGCTCGCCATGTGATCTAAGGACTTTTTACTCTGTAGAGAAAACCACTTTATTTCAATGCAAAGGATGTAAGGAAAGCAGAGATTTGTTTCCAGCGCACAGAGGTCATCCTGAATATGAAAGAGTGAGACATGCTGAAGTCAGCTTTTCAGTGTTGCTTTTTGTAGTACTTCAGTAGCATCTCAGTGGTTTTTGCAGTTTGAATAGGTGGAAGGACAAAGGCCATAAACAGACCAGTTTTGTGTTTCAAGGGCATTCATGACTCTGATGGATAGAATTTCCACTGCAGCAAAACGTCATCATTGTAATTATGTAAATAACTGTCTGCTCAAGGATCTTTTGAGGTGTGCATTGAATATATTCTGTGGACTTAGAAGAGATCACTCAAGATTTCTGTGTACTTTGCCACTTAATCTCAATATCAGCTGCTGCTGAACTATCATGTGAATGAAGTACACGCAAAAACCACTTTTGAAACTTAAAGGTACTGGAACTACATAACATTTTACTTTTTACAGTTAATGCAAATAAAAGGGAATAATAATAATAATTAATTAATTAAAAAGCCTTCTATAATAGGTGTTAGAAGCCTAGTGAGTCTTTATAGAAGATAGCTGTTTTAATAATACGACTAGTACTGTCAGTAACACTAACTGTATAGTTTATAACTCATTGTCCTTCAGCAAAAGCACAGTTTTTAAAAACTTTAAATAGGTAAAGAGATTTAAGATTCAAAATGTTTATATGAAACAATTGTTGTATTTGACTGTATACAATATGATAATGGCTCTGGTGAGCTAAAACTAGTTTCACATGTAGAAAAGAATTTTGTGTCTTCTAAAACGTGAAGAGTTAGTTTTCCAGCATCGGATGAGTGGCTTTCCTAATAAGATGTTCTAAAAACAATTAATCACCCTTTGATTTACTGAGGTTTTTTACATTTAAAGCTATTTTTAAACCTTTCATTAATTTACACATTGTTTCCCAAGTTACTGTAAAAGGGAAGTATGACTAATCAATAGCAACATCATTGTTAGTGTTTAAATAATAATTTGCGCATCTGTTCAAAAGAGAGCTTATTTTGGGGTCAAATGTGAATAACTGATTTGATATTTGAACTGTTCTGGAAGCAAACAAGGTAGCCTTGTTTCTTAGCCTGAGACTCCAGATTAAATTTGCAGTCATCATTTTGCAACACATGTTATTATCTTAGTTTTCAGGTTTCTATAGACGCAGAGGAAGCTGGCTCTGTTATCTTTACCAACCGTAACTAAGACAAGTCATTGCTTTCAAGTGTGTTGGTTATTTTGGTCTGACTCCTTTACTTAGAAAAGAGGGAGTACAAAAATTTAATCCACTCTTGGTTCTGCAATACTTGTTTGTTGACATCATATGTCTGTAGAATGTGCTATGATTGCTGCTGTCACTATATGATGTGTTATTGATACGTGATGCTTTGGAAGTCTTACAGATGAAAATAAGATACATGCCAATTATGGGCCAAATCCTGTTTGGTGCTCAGCTTTTAAACTCAGTAGGAGTTGAGTGCACTGAGCACCTCACAGAAAGTGCTCAGTACCGGAGATGACACAATCAACACAAATGAGATCCAAACTCAAAGCTTGTGTGGGAATTTTTTTCCTATTACATGTGGAAGTGGGACCACCAGTGAGTGACTAAACAGAACAAAGTGATTGGATTCTGAATAACAAATTAAAACTAAACTTGAAGGACCAGTTAAGCCCTCAGAAATGCTGTGCACCTCCTCTTGACTTTACTTATTACGGAGAGTTGTGGGTGAGCAGAGGAGAGCAAAATTTGGTCCCAAATGTAGTACTGCCATTATTACAGATAAATCAGTGTAGGTTTGAATTTCAGCATTTCACATAGCTAAGGCTACATGCCAAACTATGCATGCATGCAGTTATGAATGCAAATGAGGCATTTGCAAACAAAAGCCAGATAAATTCAAATTGGAAGTAAGGCACAAATTTTTACCAAGGAGGGTGATTAACCACTGGAAAAAACTACGAAGGGAAGTGATAGATTCTCAAGCTCTTGATGGCTTCAGATCAAGTCTGGATGTCTTTCTGGAAGATATGCTTGCAGTAAACTCAAACTATTTTTTAGTCAAACACAAGTGAGTGGGCTCAACACAGGGGTAACTGGATGAAATTTAAGAGCCTGGGACATACCGGAAGTCAAACTAGATGACCTAATTTTCCCATCTTGCCTTAAACTCTTTGAATCTATGAAACACAAATGGCCTATTAGATAGCTGAAGGGTCATTTGCACTTCTTATTTTGTGCCAGGGCTGAGCACGGGCACCTCTGGGCTTGCTATGTCAGTTATGAAAGTTAAAAAACAATGCTTGAGCCCCGGTACCTAATTGCTGGAGCCCCAGCACCTCTTTCATTACAAATTAAGGACTGGCCAATTGAGACCACAAATTTGTGTGTACTGTCACATAACTTCATGTTCAAATTAGGCAAGCATTTTTGTATATGACCCATGTTTCATCGTGTTTGAAAATCAGGCCATGTAGGTTCAGTGATACCAAAAGATAGGTCACGTAACATTCTTATATTGTCTCCCTTCCTCTTGTTGGTTTCATGCTGAATCTCACAACACATCTTGGGACTGGACCTATGCTTTAAATCGGCACCAAAACATTTATTGGCTATCTAGTCCCATTGCAATCTTAAGCCCCTCAGTCCTGCGATGAGTTGCATGTAGATGGAAGCCTGTTGTGCAGAACCCCATTGAAGAAAGCGGAGCTCAGTGCCGGTGAAGGGGTCTGTCCAACCACAGCTCATTGCAGGATTGGGGCCAGAGATACTCGCCTGGAAAAAATTATTTGGATTGTAGTATAATGGGGAGTTGTTTTGTTTTATGTTTTCAGCATTGCAGATTTTTTTTCTTTTATGGCTTAATTTTGAGAAGCCACCAGAAGAGAAATTCCCAGTTCCTTCTGTATAATGACAATCAAAACTTTCCTATGAAACACAATTTCTTATTTTGAATGGCCAATCAAATCCTTAAAATTTGGGGTGCAACTTGTACAAAATGGTCCTATTATATGATGAAGGACATAAGATATGGTGATGTTATACATCAATATGTATATATGTATTTTTATATAGACTTCTAGGATACTGCCAAAACATTTATGACAAGCTGTATCACTGCCTTTCTTTATATTTTTTTAACTGTGATATAATCCACAGGCACGTTAACTGTTGCACTTTTGAATGTCCAAAAATTATATTTTAGAATAATAAAAAAAAAGTAAGTGTTTCCAAAGTGGTGGTGTTGTGAAGTGTTTGAAGAAGGGCTAACTGATATGCGTGACCGAAGGTACAACATGTATTACATATGCCCCTGTTCGTATTTTGTCTTAAATCCTGTAAATTAAGATCTCTATATTTCAATAAATTATATATAATTTAAGGCTATGTAGGGGTCTATACTCACTTATTTAAAGATGATCACTTGATAATGAATCAGACTTGCTCAGTTTGTCAATGACATTTCCTTAATTGAGTTTTCTGCATGCCATGAAACAGCAGGGACAAAAAGTATTTTGAGCCCCACAGGTGAGTGTAGGGCAAGGGGCTTGAGTGTCACATGACATTTGAAGTACGCAGTGCTCCCCCTTTAAAATGTGGCAGGTGCTCTATTCCAGCACCTGCCTGCCAACTACAGAATGCAGATAAAAAGGTGGAGGCCAAGCTGTTCTTCCAAGCTGGTAAAACATCTCCACCAAGCGGTGCTGTGGAGCACTGGCCAGTATGGTAGCTGCTCATCCAGTTTAGGTCCCAAGCGAATGCTAGATTGGGATCCTGGCCTGCTCATCTGTGAGTGTGCTGCTGAAGAAGGTAAGATGCTTCCTGTGCTCTCCTCTTCTCTCCACAAGGGCAGCTGCACAACACAGGAAAAGATTTTACCTCAAGTTTAAAAACCAACAAAAATATAGTACTGAAAACTGCAAGGTGGAGGTTTCCCACTAGCATTCTTGATGAATACGGGGGTTTAGATGATACTACATTTAGAAGGCTGTATTGGCACTTTCTCTGAAGATGACTAACTTTTTGAGCTTGTCTCAAGTTCAGTTTCATTTAGAACCAAACAAATGCCTCGCATGGGCCTATAGTCCCACACAACGTAATTTAGTACAACTGATATAATTGTGTGCGTTTCTTGAGAGGAATCTCCAGACTCCAGCATTACAGCTGTCAGATTTGCTCCTTCTTTCAGTAAAGTCTGTTGCAGTTTGCCATAGATTTCAATGGAAGCTAGCTAGGGCCCAGGTGTGGAAAAATATCAGTTACAGGAATTCAGACTAGCAACCTCCTGTTTGTTGCTTCTGCCCATATTAGATGAACTCTGAGTACCATATCAACTATCTATTGAATCAGATTCTCATAGAGCAAGAGAACACTTTATTTAGCTACAAACAGTGCATAGACATCCCCGAAAATGTTTCAGGCATCCCCTAGGGCCTAAATTGATGGTACAAGCAGCAGTGGGCCTCACTTACTTTGCTTTTGCCACAAGGGGGCTTGTCTTAAACAGAATGCTGCTTGGGCCCAACTGTGAAGAAGACGGGTTCACTATGTATTCATCCTGCAATTTATGTCTTTGCTGCTACCCCTCCAGTTCTATTTTCACCTTTCTGGAAATTTAGCAAATACACATTAAAAACCAGAATTTTCTTCCCTCTTGAACTTCAGTAAAAGTTGGCTAGAACTGCACAGTAAGTCGGTTGGCAGAAAGGGATCTGCGCCATAGCCTGAATACTTCCTTATGTGAGTTTCATGACTCACTTGAGTAAAGCTTTGCACGGTCAGGCTCTCAGTTTGTAGCAGGGATTTATGCTTTAAAGAGTATAAACTGATGCTTAATCAGAGTAAAATCATCTCAACTGCCAAAAAGAAATAAGTATAAGAGACTATTTGCTCTAGATTTAATAAGCACAGTACACATATCTGTTGCCACTAGCCCGTAAAATTAAAGCTTAAAATCAGACCACACTTCGCAGCATAAATCAACTTCAGACACTCATAAGCATTGTGATTTGATTGTTGTACCATAGACTTTTCCTTCAGTAATTATTAGGGCTGTCAAGCGATTAAAAAAATTAATCACGATTAATCGTGCTGTTAAACAATAATAGAATACCATTTATTTAAATATTTTGGATGTTTTCTACATTTTCAAATATATTGATTTTAATTACAACACAGAACACAATGTACAGTGCTCAATTTATTTTTGATTACAAATATTTGCACTGTAAAAAAAAGAAATAGTATTTTTAAATTCCCCCATTACAAGTACTGTAGTTCAATCTCTTTTTCATGAAAGTTGAAATTACAAATGTAGAATTATGTACAAAAACCCCTGCATTCAGAAATAAAACAATGTAAAACTTTAGAGCCTACAGTTCACTCAGTCCTATTTCTTGTTCACACAATCGCTCAGACAAACAAGTTCGTTTATATTTACAGGAGATAATGCTGCCTACTTCTTGTTTACAATGTCACCCGAAAGTGAGAACAGGCGTTCTCATGGTACTGTCATAGCCGGCATTGCAAGATATTTACGTGCCAGATTCATATGTCCCATCATGCTTCAACCATCATTCCAGAGGAAATGCGTCCATGCTCGATAGCGACTCAAAGCAGTGTGGACCAACGCATGTTCATTATCATTATCTGAGTCAGATGCCACCAGCAGAAGATGGATTTTGTTTTTTGGTGGTTCAGGTTCTGCAGTTTCCACATTGGAGTGTTGCTCTTTTAAGACTTCTGAAAGCATGCGCCACACCTCGTCCCTCTCAGATTTTGGAAGACACTTCAGATTCTTAAACTTTGGGTCGAGTGCTGTAGCTATCTTTAGAAATCTCACATTGGTACCTTCTTTGCATTTTGTCAAATCTGCAGTGAAAATGTTCTTAAAAATGAACAACATGTGCCAGGTCATCATACGAGACTGCTATAACATGAAATATATGGGGTAAAACAGAGCAGGAGGCATACAATTATCCCCCAAGGAGTTCAGTCACAAATTTAATTAATGCATTTTTTTAACGAGTGTCGTCAGCATGGAAGCATGTCCTCTGGAATGGTGGTCGAAGAAATGAAGGGGCAGACAAATGTTTAGCATATCTGGCACGTAAATACCTTACAGTGCCGGCTACAAAGTGCCATGTGAACGCCTGTTCTCACTTTCAAGTGACATTGTAAATAAGAAGCGGGCAGCATTATTTCCCATAAATGTAAACAAACTTGTTTCTCTTAGCGATTGGCTGCACAAGAAGTAGGACTGAGTGGACTTGTAGGCTCTGAAGTTTTACACTGTTTTGTTTTTGAGTGCAGTTATGTAACAAAAGAAATCTACATTTGTAAGTTGCACTTTCACAATAAAGAGATTGTACTACTGTACTTGTATGAGGTGAATTGAAAACTACTATTTCTTTTGTTTATCATTTTTACAAAGCAAATATTTGTAATAAAAATAAGCACAGTACACTTTGTATTCTGTGTTGTAATTGAAGTCAATATATTTGAAAATGTAAAAGAATGCAAAAATATTTAATACATTTCAATTGGGATTCTATTGTTTAACAGTGTGATTAAAACTGTGATTAATTATGATTAATTTTTTTGTTAATTGCAATTAAAAAAATCAATCACATGAGTTAACTGCGATTAATCATGGTACTCTCTTCAGTTTGGTGTTTAAATACATAATGATAAATGTATCAGAGATATGAGATAATATTCCATGTTGTGGGATACAAGCTTGTTCCCTGCTCTGGTTAGTATGTGGTCATTGATATTTATTTATTAAAGCTCTAACCTGTTATGAGAAGTGCTACTTTACTATATCATTGACTTAATAATTCCCCTCTGCAGCATGTGGGGGTGGGCTACAGCTAACTATAACCCAGATCCACCAAAATTTGGAGCCCCAAATACACCGTCTCCCAGTCATTCCCCATCAACAGACATTCCTTCCTTCTTTAGCTCAGCACCACTTTCTCCTTTTTGAGACTCTTGCTCCTAGCACACATAGTTTCCCTGATTTTTCTTTCACCACAGTCTCTTTGACTTTCTTTTCACCTAGACAAACTTGAACTATCCAGCCCTGGCCACCCAGAGACTGTCCCCACTCGGGCTAGCCAGAACTCATCGCTCTCCTCTCTGTCCAGTAAGCGCCCAAAGAAATACCTTTAAATGTAGCTTTTCCAGCTGTCAGTCTTTTCTCTGCCTCACCACTGGTGTGGTGAGATCATCTTCGTGTTCAGTCTGCTGCAGGCCAATTCAAGCTCCATCATTCCTCCTCATGCCAACCTGAAAATGTGCTCAGAACACTTGCATAACAAAGACGCTGACGTGCAAGGACTGCCCAGCTGCAGCAACCTCACGTTCTGGTCACAACATGATGTGACCGCAACTCTTCAAAGCAAGATAAGCAGGAACTTGTGCATAGTGGCATTCCAGGTGCATGCAATCTACCTCTGAGGCCCTGCAGGAGGAGTACGCTCAACATCTTCTTTAAATACTTGAACATTCAAACTGTACCCAACAAAAGACAAGAGAAAACTCATACCTACGTGGATATTGTCTACTATACATGCACAAGTCAGACTTCTTATATAGAAGTATACATTTGATTCATAACAAAAATCCATACAGAGCAGTATATTATTAAGGGTTCATTGGGCTTCTGAGGGGGATAAAGTTCTTTGGTCTTTGACACATGCCTTCTAACACTGTGCAAAGCCCTCTATGCTCACTTTGAAATATAGGGTCAGAATCTACATAATTTGAGTGGAAATTTTGCCATTCATTTCTGCTGGTCATATTTTATCAGCTGACACAGGGTGAACTGGGTCTTTAAGGGGAGGTCAAGCCCACTTCTACCTGTGTCTGGTTTTCCTCCTAAATCATGGGACAGGGATTTTGGCCAGATTTTAAAAGGTATTTAGGTGCCTAATGATTCCAGAGGCAGTAAGGAACCTAGGGACCTTTGAAAATCCTACTTGGGGCTGATTTGCATCTTTCGGACCTAAATAGTTCAAAAAAAGTTTGGCATTAGGTGACTGAGAACTAGGTTTGCTGGGACATAGGAGGCGACCTATTTTCAGTAAGGAAGAGAGATGGCAGGCACAGCAGTATGCTGGATGACTCTCCAGTGACTGGGGAATGCTACATGGTGGGTCCCTGCGGGGAGAGAAACCTGTGGAAGGACAGAAGCTTGCTGAAGAGACTTCTGAGTGACCAGCTTTGGTATCC